CTCTGTTTGAGCAGGGTGTTTCAGTAGGCTAAACTAGCTAGCTGCATTTGCTAGCTAAGTAAGTGAAACTGAAAGTGAAAGAAACTGACAATCTCTCTCTCTTTATTTCTCTCTTGCTTCTCCTTCATTTTGAATTAATTTGTTCAAAACTGTTCAACTATTGTCTTTCACTCTCTTTGAGTCAACTACTCACCACATTTTATGCACTGCGGTGCTAGCTAGCTGTAGCTTATGCCTTCAGTACTAGATTAATTATCTGATCCTTTGATTGGGTAGACAACATGTCAGTTCATGCTGCAAGAGCTCTGATAGGCTGGAGGACGTCTTCCGGAAGTTGTCATAATTACTGTGTAAGTCTATGGAAGGGAGTGAGAGCCATGAGCCTCCTAGGTTTTGTATTGAAGTCAATGTACCCAGAGGAGGACGGAAGCTAACTGTCTTCCAGCTACACCATGGTGCTACCCTACAGAGTGCTGTTGAGGCTACTGTAGACCTTCTTTGCAAAATAGTGTGTTTTAATCAGTTATTTGGTGACGTGATTATATTTAGTATCGTTTTATCTAAAAAGGGTAACTTTTTAAATGTTTTAAAATTTTACTTTTTTTATGAAATTCACTGAGGATGATGGTCCTCCCCTTCCTCTTCTGATGAGCCTCCACTGGATTCAACCCTACACTATACACATCAGCAGCCACAGCTCTAAACAAAGAGTTGCAGTTAGTTTCAGAATGGGTGGCCAGTAATAAACTAGTTCTGAATATATCTAAGACTAAGAGCATAGCATTTGGTACAAATCATTCCTTAAACTGTAGACTTAAGCTGGATCTGGTTATGAAAAATGCGGCTATAGAACAAGTTGAGGAAACTAAACTTATTGGTGTCACCTTAGACTGTAAATTGTCATGGCCTATTGATTCAATTGTTATCAAGATTGGGAGAGGCCTGTCTGTGATAAGGAGATGCTCAGCATTCTTGATATTTATTTAACAAATTATTAAAGTGGAAAATCAATCCAACATAAACTGACATTCACAAACAGAAACAATACAACACCATAACAACATTACTAACACCACTACTGGCTGAACAAGTCCTACAGGCTCTAGTTGTATCATATCTTGCCTACTGCCCAGTAATATGGCCAGGTACTGCAAAGAAAGACTTAATAAAGCTAAAGCTGGCTCACAACAGAACAGCACGTCTTGCCCTGCAATGTTCCAACAGAGCTAATGTCAACTAAATGCATGTTGACCTTTCCTGGCTCAAAGTAGAGGAGAGATGGTCTGCATCACTTCTCATTTTTGTTAGAAATATGAATGTGTTAACTCCAAACTGTCTATTCAATCAACTGACATACAGCTCTGACAGACATTCATATTCCACAAGGCATGCAACCTAAGGTCTCTTCATTGTCCCTAAAGCCAAAAATGAATTCAAGGCAACGCACAGTAATTTATAGAGCCATGATAGCATGGAACTCCCTGCCATCTCAAATCACTCAAGCAAGCAGCAAAAGTAGCTTTAAAAAACGAATAAAACCACACATCACAGCACAACGCCTCTGACCTAAATAACTATAGTATCTCCCTCCCGAGCACATCTGGTGTTTGGGTTCAAGTTAAAGATAGGATGTGCCCTTGGCACCAGGATATCAGGGCTTGCTCAGAGAAAGCAATTGTAAGCAAAGCCTCAGTAGGGTAAGGAGGTACTGCTCCATATGATATTATAGTCTGGTCAGCTTACTGATGTTAGTTTTGTTGATGTGTATGAAAGTGTATTTTTATTTTGTGTGTGACTGGTGGATGCTGCTGGGTGTGAGTGTGGTGCGGGGAATGGAAAATGGAAATGCAAAACAACTCCATAAGAGAACCGGAGGAAACTCGATATCAAGGGGACTTTATTCATTTTATGAATTTGTCCAAAGGGCACGCACTATACCTTTGCTAAATCTTTATGGGCGGTAGACTGTAACACGGCAAATGTTTGGTTACATTCATATCTATGCACTAGACAGGGCGAAGGATGAACGTGAAGCCCATCTGACTTTGTTAAATGTATTGAACGGAGTGGAGTGATGGATCTCTAAAAAGTCCACATTTGTAGCTAAATTGAATGATTCAATTGAAACATTAGCTATAGGAAACTCCAACACGGTTGCTGAGGTGAAGGATTAAATTGAAGCCTTGGCGGGGAGGAAACTCCATCTTTAGCTCATTTATGGCAACGTTGCTAGGGTGAAATCTGTGGTTGAAGCTTTAGCTGGAGGAATTATTGTATTTCCATTGTCGTTTTCATTGCACTTGCATTCAGTAGCATCTATGAAATATTATTATGAATAGTATTGACGTCAAACGGGAGAACCAAGGACACGGGTGGTTCCTAATATTGCTAGTGTTTACAGAATAACTGGTTCTGAGAGATTAGGATCAGGACCTGCAATTGTAAAAGTAAGCAACTGTAACAAAATGGATGATTGCAGTGTAGCCGTTATTATGAGTACATGTTGCATGGACTGCTAAGGCATAAGAATATAAAAGTGTGTAATGTAATTCTATGTACAGTGAGGGAAAAAAGTATTTGATCCCCTGCTGATTTTGTAAGTTTGCCCACTGACAAAGAAATGATCAGTCTATAATTTTAATGGTAGGTTTATTTGAACAGTGAGACAGAATAACAAACAAAAAATGTCAAAAATGTTATAAATTGATTTGCATTTTAATGAGGGAAATAAGTATTTGACCCCCCTCTCAATCAGAAAGATTTCTGGCTCCCAGGTGTCTTTTATACAGGTAACGAGCTGAGATTAGGAGCACACTCTTAAAGGGAGTGCTCCTAATCTCAGCTTGTTACCAGTATAAAAGACACCTGTCCACAGAAGCAATCAATCAATCAGATTCCAAACTCTCCACCATGGCCAAGACCAAAGAGCTCTCCAAGGATGTCAGGGACAAGATTGTAAACCTACACAAGGCTGGAATGGGCTACAAGACCATCGCCAAGCAGCTTGGTGAGAAGGTGACAACAGTTGGTGCGATTATTCGCAAATGGAAGAAACACAAAAGACCTGTCAATCTCCCTCGGCCTGGGGCTCCATGCAAGATCTCACCTCGTGGAGTTGCAATGATCATGAGAACGGTGAGGAATCAGCCCAGAACTACACGGGAGGATCTTGTCAATGATCTCAAGGCAGCTGGGACCATTGTCACCAAGAAAACAATTGGTAACACACTACGCCGTGAAGGACTGAAATCCTGTAGCGCCCGCAAGGTCCCACTGCTCAAGAAAGCACATATACAGGCCCGTCTGAAGTTTGCCAATGAACATCTGAATGATTCAGAGGAGAACTGGGTGAAAGTGTTGTGGTCAGATGAGACCAAAATCGAGCTCTTTGCCATCAACTCAACTCGCCGTGTTTGGAGGAGGAGGAATGTTGCCTATGACCCCAAGAACACCATCCCCACCGTCAAACATGGAGGTGGAAACATTATGCTTTGGGGGTGTTTTTCTGCTAGGGAGACAGGACAACTTCACCGCATCAAAGGGACGATGGACGGGGCCATGTACCGTCAAATCTTGGGTGAGAACCTCCTTCCCTCAGCCAGGTCATTGGAAATGGGTTGTGGATGGGTATTCCAGCATGACAATGACCCAAAACACACGGTCAAGGCAACAAAGGAGTGGCTCAAGAAGAAGCACATTAAGGTCCTGGAGTGGCCTAGCCAGTCTCCAGACCTTAATCCCATAGAAAATCTGTGGAGGGAGCTGAAGGTTTGAGTTGCCAAACGTCAGCCTCGAAACCTTAATGACTTGGAGAAGATATGCAAAGAGGAGTGGGACAAAATCCCTCCAGAGATGTGTGCAAACCTGGTGGCCAACTACAAGAAACGTCTGACCTCTGTGATTGCCAACAAGGGTTTTGCCACCAAGTACTAAGTCATGTTTTGCAGAGGGGTCAAATACTTATTTCCCTCATTTAAAATGCAAATCAATTTCCAACATTTTTGACATGCGTTTTTCTGGATTTTTGTTGTTGTTATTCTGTCTCTCACTGTTCAAATAAACCTACCATTAAAATTATAGACTGATCATGTCTTTGTCAGTGGGCAAACGTACAAAATCAGCAGGGGATCAAATACTTTTTTCCCTGACTGTATTCAAATGTTTTGTACATCTAATTTAGGTCGTTTTGTAACTGTCTATTAATGTTTTGTATTATGTCATTTTATGTAGGTCTGTCCTTCAGCTGTAATTGTCTAGTAATGTTCTGTATTATGTCATGTTTTATATTTTGTGTGGACCCCAGGAAGAGTAGCTGCAGCTTTGTCTTAAGTTAATAGGGATCCTAATAGAACACTAATACATCAGGGCCTGTATTTATAAAGCAGTGCTGATACAGCATCACTTTTCCCTTCTCATAATGAATATGAGGGGATACCTGATACTCGATCAGCGCTCCTAATCTGAGACGTTTAGTAAATATGGGTTCAGAAGTACTCTCTTTCTCCTAACTCTTAAGAATCGCCTTACTCTAAGCAGTGTATTGTAATCATAAAGGAATATCAATTAAAGGAGAGGAGGGACTCTCCTTTCTAAAGAATAATTGTGAGTTACATCCAGTTTGAGGGGGTAGGTAGCTTTGTCTCTGCTAATATTGGTATGTGAGTCACGGTTCAGGCTGGAGGGATTCCCTGTGGATTAGATGACTGTGTAGAGGAGTCTGAGGAGTCAGGCCACTGGGAAGGAAGGAAGGCTGGAGGATAGCTGGATTATAATCACTGTCTATCTGTCAATTGGTTGGTGCTGGGAGTCAGGTTGATATTACACATCCTTGTATTACACAATCCGTTTTCTGCTATTATTCCACTATGTTCTCTTTTAGTCACCTTGTTTGACACAGCTCTCTACACAGGGGGAATGATGCTCACATCTAATTCTGAAGTGCTTTTCAATCAAGCCGTTAGCCAAAGAAAATGGTTTAGTCATGGTTTCCTTAGATTTGAATGAAGGGCTTTGCACCTCTGTCGGTCTGGGTATTATTATGTCTAGTCTGGATTTAGCCTTACATAGCCAGTGTGAGACTTCTGAGTACTGTGCTTCATTACCTGGGTTCAAATACATTTCAGTATCTGCTATTTAAAATACTTTTTTCTGTGTATATGAGTTTTTCAAATACTTTCCAAGTGTATTTCCAAATACATTCAAATATTCAACTCAAATATATATCAGAATACTTTGAATGTATGTGAAAGTAATTGAGATATTTGAAATTGTATTTGAATCCAGGTCTGTTCATTACGTTGACTTATGTAATACTCCAGGTGTCATGGTTTGCCCTTGCCTTACCCCATTCTTTAGCTTCTTTAATCTGTGTCAAGTGAGGTTGAATTATTATGTGCACGGGTGCGCTTCACACTGCTACGACTTGGTAGCTACGGAACCAAAACAGCAGAGAGGTTTAGCCTCGCGCTTCAACGCTCTTAGTTGTTGCGGAACTTGACCCACTATGTGTTTACTTTGTGCATGCAATGTCATCTCGCTGAGTCTGCCTTTTAGGCATAATTGTGAACTTCCTGGTTTGTGCCCCTGGCAGGTTGCAGCAGAGACCCCGTGCGTGGTGTTAGATGAGGCTCCAGCCAGGTGTGAGGAGGCTCCCAGAGAGGAGGAGGAGTCAGGGCCGCAAGTGACCCCACCCCCGCTGGGCCTCTGCCCCGCCCCCACCACTAGCCTCTCACACCAGGAGGAGCACACAGAGGAGCAGCGACTACAGTTACTGGTGAGAACAAATACATTAATGCCACACACGCGCACACACACACATGATTGCTCCACTCACCTCGTACAATATACAACCCTGTCATGGCTAGTTAGACTGACACATAAACACATGCACATACCTCTTGTTAGAGACTGGACAGATATCATGAGTGGGATATGATGTAATGCTTGCTTGTAGTCTGGAGGATGGCCTTATTGATGCGTATAGATAAACCAAGCATTAATGCTATGGCTGATGGCTCACAGACAAACAATCGTTAGAACAAATTAGGCCACAGGTCTTCTGCTTTTTAATTATCAATATTGCCCGCACCCCCCCACCATTAAGCTGTTGCATCTAGTCAGTCAATTAGCCACTGAGTCCCCCCACACAGCACACATAACAGTCCTTCTGCGGTCATCATAATGCTTGGTTATACTGTTGTGTCTGGCGATGGATGTTGAAATAAGCTGATTTTTCCAATTTCGCTGGGGGGGGGGGGCTGCATGAGTCTGCATGTAAGCTGCATTTAGAGTAATTAAAAAATGCTAAGCTTGGTAATACCTCGTTGTTACCATGTCAAAGGTCAATATGGAAATCAAGGGCTTATAATTTATTTTGGATCCAAAACAGATTGATCGTGATTTGTGCAGACACTTTTTGTCAAACACAAAAATGATATGTTGATATGCTTTGACATCTGATATACAAGACAGGGTATCATATACATAGTACTGTAGCTGGATAAATAGGCCTGTCACATTTAGGAATAGGCAACCAAAAACAACACTAAAAGCTCCTATTTCAAACACTGGTCAGATTTCAATAGGGCGAATATGGAGTCAGATATGGATGTTTCTGACGCGTGTAGGTCGTGTAGTTGCTGTAACGTGACATGCTCTGGCTTTGTTCCAGGAACGCGAGCTGAGTAAGAAGCGAAAAGAATGTGAAAACCTCCAGCATGACGTAAGGAAGAGACAGAAGAAATGTCTGGATTTGGTAAGAAATCCTCAGGGCCACGAAGGGCCGTCCACTCGTGTGTTTGTTAACTACTGTACTCTCAGGGTGCTACTACCAGTGCACCAGGTGTTACGACCAGCGGAGGCTGGTGGAGTGAGAATATCCCACTGAAATGGAATGAATAGAACAGTATCAACCACATGAAACACACGGTTCCAATAATTCCATTCCAGCCATTACAATAAACCCATCCTGAAATGAAAGTGACACCAGCCTCCACTGATGACAGCACTAATGTTACGACTGTACTACAGTATAATGACTATATTCTCTCTGACTGGGGCTGATGAGATATAATGGCTTCATCCCTGGCTGCTGAATCTGAGTCTTGTCTTCTTGTCGTCGTTGGTGCTCTGACAGGAGAGCCTGCTTGAGGATGAGCAGGGCAAAAATGAGCGACTAGAGGAGGAGGCAGATCTCCTCAGGAGGAAGGCACAGCTGCTCAACCAGGTCAGTCTCCATTCTATTCTATTTTTTGAGGGCCTCTTTGTGTTGTTTTGATGACAGAATAAATCTCTACATTATGGTTCAAATGGGAACCCTCAACTGTCTTTTCTGTCGTGAACCTTCAGTAGACCGGAAGGGCTTCTGTTTCTATGTTGGTATGGGACAGTATTTGTTTTGTGTCTGTCCTTCTCCTGCTAGTCCTGAGGAATGTCAGTACTCTCTCGCTCTCTCTCTCTCTCCTCTCGCTCTCTCTCTCCCCATCCCTCTCTCTCTCCCATCCCTCTCTCTCTCTCTCTGCCCCATCCCCCCTCTCTCTCCCCAATCCCTTCTCTCTATCTCTCTCTCCCATCCCCCCTCTCTTCTCCCCATCCCTCTCCTCCCATCCTCTTCTCCCCTCCTCCCTCTCTACCATCTCTCTCTCCCGCATCTCTCTCTCTCCCCATCCCGCTGCTAATCTCTCACCCCCACCCTCCTAACCCCGCTCTCCCTCTCCCCCCATCGCCCCCGCTCCTCCCCCCACTCCGCCTCGCTCCCCTCCTCTCCTCCCCCTCTCTCTCCCCGTCTCTCTCTCTCTCTCCCCCCATCGCGTCTCGCCCCTCTCTCCCATCCTCTCACTCTCCCCTCTCGTCCTCCCTCCCTTCTCTCGAGCATCCCTCTCTGCCGACTCTCCCTTCTCTATCTCCTCTCAGCCTTTCCTTCCCTCTCCTCTCTCCTCTCTCTCTCTCTCTCTCTCTCTCTCTCCCCATCCCTCTCTCTCAGGCCCGGGTTGAGAATGAGGAGCTGAGGGAAGACCTCTCTGAAGTGACCGCTCAACGTGATTCAGTTCTCGAGGAGAACCAGAGCCTCCGTGCCAAACTGGAGAACCTAGAGCAGGTCCTAAAGGTACAGGCTCACCTCCAGTCTTCTGTTGCTACACTTCCAAGTTTCGTTCACTTGGCTATTTCAGAACAAATGTGAAGAATCCGGAGATCCCTGGGACCAGGTTCACTTTGACTACAAACAGAGTAGTGTTAGCATTTATTAGTAGTGTTGCCAGTATGCATTTGCTAGTAGTGTTGCCATTTTCATTTGCCGCATGGAAGCCGAGTGTACATACTACAGAGTAATTATGTAAGTGTTGTGTGACCACATGAAATACGTGTCTCCTTTGATGCTTGCAGCATATGCGAGAGGTCGCCGAGCGAAGGCAGCAGCTGGAACTGGAACATGAGCAGGCACAGGCTATCCTCAAGTTCAAACAGGATGAGATCAAACGGCTACAGCGGGTGAGCAGCACCATACATGGCCTCTGATCCTCTGTAGCTCAGTTGGTAGAGCATGGTGCTTACAACGCCAGGATAGTGGGTTCAATTCCCAGGACCTATATGTAAAATGTATGCTTATATGAAAAATATATCTAAATGGCATATACAGTGCATTCGGAAATTATTCAGACCCCTTCCCTTTTTCCATATTTTGTTACGTTACAGCCTTATTATAAAAAGGATGACAAAGCGAAAACATGTTTTTAGATATTTTTGCAAATGTATTAAAACATTGCTATGAGACTTGAAATTGAGCTCAGGTGCATCCTGTTTCCATTGATCATCCTTGAGATGTTTCTACAACTTGATTGGACATGATTTGCAAAGGCACACACCTGTCTATATAAGGTCCCACAGTTGACAGTGCATGTCAGAGCAAAAACCAAGCCATGAGGTCGAAGCAATTGTCCGTAGAGCTCAGAGACAGGATTGTGTCGAGACACAGATCTGGGGAAGGGTACCAAAAAATGTCTGCAGCATTGAAGGTCCCCAAGAACACAGTTGCCTCCATCATTCTTAAATGGAAGAAGTTTGGAACCACCAAGACTCTTCCTAGAGCTGGCCGCCCTGCCAAACTGAGCAATCGGGGGAGAAGGGCCTTGGTCAGGGAGGTGACCAAGAACCCAATGGTCACTCTGACAGAGCTCCAGAGTTCCTCTGTGGAGATGGGAGAACTTTCCAGAAGGACAACCATCTCTGCAGCACTCCACCAATCAAGCCTTTATGGTAGAGTGGCCAGACGGAAGCCACTCCTCAGTAAAAGGCACATGACAGCCTGCTTGGAGTTTGCCAAAAGGCACCTAAAGGACTCAGACCATGAGAAACAAGATTCTCTGGTCTGATGAAACCAAAATGGCCTGAATGCCATGCGTCACGTCTGGAGGAAACCTGGCACCAACAGTGAAGCATGGTGGTGGCAGCATCATGCTGTGGGGATGTTTTTCAGCGGCAGGGACTGGGAGACTAGTCAGGACCGAGGGAAAGATGAACGGAGCAAAGTACAGAGAGATCCTTGATGAAAACCTGCTCCAGGGCGCTCAGGACCTCAGACTGGGGCGAAGGTTCACCTTCCAACAGGACAACAACCCTAAGCACATAGCCAAGACAACGCAGGAGTGGCTTCGGGACAAGTCTCTGAATGTCCTTGAGTGGCCCAGTCAGAGCCCGGACTTGAACCCGATCGAACAGCTCTGGAGAGAACTGAAAATAGCTGTGCAGCGACGCTCCCCATCCAACCTGACAGAGCTGGAGAGTATCTGCAGAGAAGAATGGGAGAAACTCCCCAAATACAGGTGTGCCAAGCTTGTAGCGTCATACCCACGAAGACTTGAGGCTGTAATCGCTGCCAAAGGTGCTTCAACAAAGTACTGTGTAAAGGGTCTGAATACTTATGTAAATGTGATATTTCCTTTTTTTGTTTGAAGAAATTAGCAAAAATATCTAAAAACCTTTGTCATTATGGGGTATTGTGTGTAGATTGATGAGATAAAACAAAACAATTGAATCCATTTTAGAATAAGGCAGTAACGTAACAAAATGTGGAAAAAGTAAAGGGGTCTGAATACTTTCCGAATGCACTGTATCATTGTTTACTCTCTCTTGCCTCCTATACAATAACCAGTGCCCAGCCCGCCTTAAATACAAGGCTCAGCTATATAACCACAACTGCCAAGAAACCCTGTTCCCAGCAATCACTCAGCAAAACCCAATCAACTAAAATAAAATTGTCCAGTAGGAGGCAGCCGTTGGGTGCAAAGTTGGTTGTTTAGTTCTGGGGGGAACTATTGAGAAGGACTAGATGTGAAATAAGAAACGTTAAAAAATTACACTTTGTGTGTAGAATCATTAAACAGTGTTCATTTTTCCATTCAACAGGCTGAGTTTTTTGCCAAGAGGGAGCATGAGGGGGTGGTACAGATGCTGGAGGTAAGTCTGGTCTTGATCTTCTATTTAAATGGTGCCAATAGAGATCTAGATCTTGTATTTCTATGGTGCCGATTGAGATCTAGATCTTGTATTTCTATGGTGCCGATAGAGATCTAGATCTTGTATTTCTATGGTGCCGATAGAGATCTAGATCTTGTATTTCTATTGGTGCCAGATAGAGAATCTAGATCTTGTATTTCTATGTGCTGCAGATATGAGATCTAGATTCTTGTAATTTCTATGGTGGCAGATAGAGATCTATATCTTGGTAAAAAAAAAAACAAACAATTTTTCTATGGGTGCAGATAGAGATCTAGATCTTGTATTTCTATGGTGCCGATAGAGATCTAGATCTTGTATTTCTATGGTGCAGATAGAGATCTAGATCTTGTATTTCTATGGTGCAGATAGAGATCTAGATCTTGTATTTCTATGGTGCTGATTGAGATCTAGATCTTGTATTTCTATGGTGCTGATGTTATTTCTATTGGTGCAGAGGTGTGGTTGTTGTAGTTCTATAAACACTACGTTATCAGTCCCTCTCTTTCACATGAAGGTAGCCTGACTGTGTAACACAGGACTGTCTATACAAGGCAGGGCCTCCCTCAACATGCTATAGTATAGGCCTACAGACTTGGCTAATGAGACTGAGGTGAAGTTGCTCGCTCGGGAACAGATCAATTTGATCAAGCCAAAAAGTTGGAGGGTATGGAGTGGTGACAGGATAATCACTAGATTTATCTTGAGCGAATGGTAGGCCGGAACTATACAAATCAACTATTGACCGCAAAAGCCAACAATTTATACCAAACTATAATTCAACCTTACATTGTATACGATCACATTTTCTCTCTATTATTTGTGGGAATACTTTGGAAAAGATTTCCAAAATAAAATCACTGGAGCTCCATTGCTGTTTTTTTTTACAGTATTCTATGTCCAACAATTTAAACAATGAAAAAACCTCCGACAGCCTGATCATCATAGTGTATATTGTCATTGTGTCGGTAAACCCTTTGTTATACATTGTGTTAATGTGTTGTGTTTCTCTGTGTAAATGAAGTGTGTATGTATTCTGTTGTAGGACTTGATCCAGCTTGTGTTGCAGAGGGAGCTGGTACAGTACCGTTACGCTCCTGTTTTGTTTGAATTGCTCATTACAATTTCCCCTACTCTCTCTCGATCCTTCTTTCCATCTCTTTATCTCTCTAAACAAAGAACATCACTTGTAAAAGTCTCTCTCCCCCTCCAGAGGAGGTATAGAAGACAGAGAGAAATAGTGATGGAGATCATAGGGATAAAAACGGACCGTATAGTTGCTATCTCTATGATTTACGCTGACGGAGCCCTGGACTCCGATTGCAGTGTGCCTCTAATCTATTAACCATGTTTTTCTTCCTCAACTCCACGTTTCACAAGCATGAGTTTGTTTTTGAAGTGCTTTTTCTTTTGTGCTTTCTTTCCCTGCTAACCAGACTACACTGGACTGCATGCAGGTACCAGCAACACAAAGCCTCTGTCCTGATGCTCTAGCTCAGATCCCAACCTCATCCACCCTGTTCCCAACCCCCACCTTAAGCCTCTGTGTAGATAGATAGACAGACTACTACACCTTGACTTTACAAAGGCCTAGACACGCGTGTCCTTGCAGCATGTAGTGGCTAGTTAGTTTGAGAATTAAGGAGAAATGTACAGTACCAGTCAAAAGTTTGGACACACCTACTCATTCCAGGGTTTTTCCTAATTTATACTATTTTCTACATTGTAGAATAATAGTGAAGATATCAAACTATGAAATAACACATATGGAATCATGTAGTAACCAAAAAAGTGTTAAACAAATCCAAAATATATTTTAAATTTGAGATTCTTCAAATAGCCACCCTTTGCCTTGATGACAGCTTTGCACACTCTTGGCATTCTCTCAACCAGCTTCATCAGGTAGTCACCTGGAATGCATTTCAATTAACAGGTATGCCTTCTTAAAAGTTAATTTGTGGAATTTATTTCCTTCTTAATGTGTTTGAGCCAATCAGTTGTGTTTGGTGAAAGACCAAGTCCATATTATGGCAAGAACAGCTCAAATAAGCAAAGAGAAACGACAGTCCATCGTTACTTTAAGACATGAAGGTCAGTCAATATGGAACATTTCAAGAACATTTCAAGAAGTTTCTTCAAGTGCATTCGCAAATGTGGACCGCCACAGGAATGAAAGACCCATAGTTACCTCTGCTGCAGAGGATAAGTTCATTAGAGTTACCAGCCTCAGAAATTGCAGCACAAATAAATGCTTCACGGAGTTCAAGTAACAGACACATCTCAACATCAACTGTTCATAGGGGACTGTGTGAATCAGGCCTTCATGGTTGAATTGCTGCAAAGAAACCACTACTAAAGGACACCAATAAGAAGAAGAGACCTGCTTGGGCCAGGAAACACGAGCAATGGACATTAGACTGGTGGAAACTTGTCCTATGGTCTGGAGTCCAAATTGGAGATTTTTGGTTCCAACCGCCGTGTCTTTGTGAGACGCGGTGTGGGTGAAGGGATGATCTCCGCATGTGTATTTCCCACCGTAAAGCATGGAGGAGGAGGTGTTATGGTGTGGGGGTGCTTTGCTGGTGACACTGTCTGTGATTTATTTAGAATTCAAGGCACACTTAACCAGCATGGCTACCACAGCATTCTACAGAGATATGCCGTCCCATCAGGTTTGGGCTTAGTGGGACTATCAATGGTTTTTCAACAGGACAATGACCCAACACACCTCCAGGCTGTGTAAAGGCTATTTTACCAAGAAGGAGAGTAATGGAGTGCTGCATCAGAGGACCTGGCCTCCACAATCCCCCGACTTCAACCCAGTTGAGATGGTTTGGAATGAGTCGGACCGCAGAGTGAAGGAAAAGCAGCCAACGAGTGCTCAGCATAATTGGGAACTCTTTCAAGACTGTTGGAAAAGCATTCCAGGTGAAGCTGGTTGAGAGAATGCCAAGAGTGTGCAAAGCTGTCATCAAGGCAAAGGGTGGCTATTTGAAGAATCGCAAATATAAACTATATTTTGGATTTGTTTAACACTTTTTTCTTTACTAAATGATTCCATATGTGTTATTTCATAGTTTTGATGTCTTCACTATTATTCTACAATGTCAAAAATAGTAAAAAATAAAGAAAAACCCTTGAATGAGTAGGTGTGTCCAAACTTTTGACTAGTAGTGTAAATGTGACCGGTGATACCCTGATTAGGGCTGTGACGGTCATAAAATTTTGTCAGCCGGTGATTGTCAAGCAAATAACTTCCGGTTTCACAGTAATTGTTCTTTAATTAACATAAACACATTTAGCATAGCCTACAAGCCACTGATGCAGACCTTTGGAACATCTACATTTTAAAAAGTCTAATCAATCCATGTAATATAGCCTACACCATCACAATGAATCCATTATTTATTTTAGATGGGTCTAAAGAAACATGATATGAAGAAAATGTAGTCTATTTCAGAAGAACAGAATAACATACTCTGAGTTGTCCTTATGTTAGGCCCTGATCTGGCTATGCCATATGGCTGTGGGCTACACTAGTTCATTTAGCAGACAAGATTTGCTTAGAACTCCTTGACATTATTTTATATTATTTTATATAAATACAATTGAACATAGCTGAATAAAATAGAAAGGATATTTTCTCCAAACGATTTGAGTGAGTGCGCAAATGCGGCTATTCTGTGTTGAGCGGTTAACAAAGAAACAGTTACTCTGCTTAATTTAGAGTTATTTATGTGACTTTAGTTGTGATACAAATGTTGGGCTGTATGTTTTGATTTTTAATACATTCTAAGGCTGCGTGATGCGACTCTAATGATGATTTGAAAAAAGTTGCATGAACGGCATGAGCTCTGCTTTGTTTTTTTTGCACAGGCTGTACACACCTCATCAGTCTCTTATTCACAATTTGAGAAGCACTTGATAATGCCTATAATTTCCCGCCGTTATCCCCTTTTTGTGGCCATAATGCCTCCTAAAACAATCCATGCCTTTTGCGGCCGGTGGCCGTTGTGCCCTTGGGCTGGATATTAAAATTATAATTCCCTTCTCCCGGCTGCGTGCCGAAGCACCTCTCACTCACATGACTCTCCGTAATGTGGTCGGGTCTTTCTCACAGGCTACAAGTGAAGACAGACACATCGGGGATGCAACTGTGCATATTGAAGATATTGGAAGAACTGTCCACATTTACTTTTTGTCAACAAGATGAGTAGGCCTAATGAACAGCAAAAGCACTAGCCTATGTCAATCTACTATCCCCCATGGTACAAAAGTCGACCTATTCTATTCTGTGCGATAAATACATATTCCAAACATAGTCTGGGACAGTTGTGGGATGCGATAGATCGCAAATTAATACAACCACTAGCATAAACTGTTTTAAGGAATGAGCCTGACGCAACAGATGAGAACGTTTAGCTTAACATAAACTATTAGGCTATTTCTTCACATAAGCGCAGCAATACGCACAGAACAGTAGGCTATAAGCGCGAATGTTCCGTTAGCAGGAAAACACCATTCTCAAAAGTGACCACAAATGCGATTATGCATGTTTTGCTTTTATTATATAGGTGCATTTTTATGGTGAAAATGATCTTCGCCAAACTTGAAACTCACACGCTGCGTATGTATGTATGTAGGCTCTACACCCGTTGTAAAGCTGATTCATGTGCATCATTTTAAAAAGTTATTTGGCCCACTTTAGTTGTGATACAAACCTTATCAAAACATATAGGCCTATGGGCTAGGCTACATGAGGTGTGCGACTATGATTTGAAAAAGTTGCAAAAAAAATAATGTGCTGTTTGCCTTAAGCTGGGCATCATTCACAAGTGATAATATATAATTCACAAGTGATAAGCTAATATTGTCACCCATCACACTATTCTTGATTTAATCTTGTCTTTACATATACTAAATAATATATGTGTGAAATCTGTTTTGATTTAGAATGGACCATTATCATGCACCTGTCTCGAAACAGGGCCAGCGGAAAATAATACGTCATCTATGCACTTAAATAGCGAATGGAGGACGCTTTTCACATGGTTCATTTTCATGCCAGCCGGGTAGGCTATACTTAATATTAGGACATTTGAGAAATAAATATAGCAGGCCTAGCCTATAGAAAGCTGATGGGATCCTCCTCTTTTTAATAGATTGCATAGCCTATAGAAATGTTGCGCAACATGAGCTCATGGGCTCTCATGAAGTGTATGAGCAGATAGCCTCCTGTGTTCTCTAGCTACAGTATATAGTGTTGTAACATGTTTTGAATACAGCATGACAAGCTGATTTGTGCTGTCTCACTGAGAGGCGATAGGCTCCAGCCAGGTCAGCGTGTGTCAGTGTACTGGACTATGTGCCTTCTCCTACACATCTGTGGGTTTCAACCAGTTACATAACAGGCCGAGTAGTAATTGTGATCTTTTTAAATAATCCATTTGTGTGGACATGGAGAGGCCCTCTGAGGCCGGCTGGCCCTCTGTGTGAATGTGTATTAGTATGGGTCCGTGTGTGCGTTAGCGGTGTGTGTGTGGACGTGTTTAACTATACTTGAAGACTGTGTGTGTGCTTGTGTGTGTGTGTGTGTGAGAGTGAGTGTGTGAGAGAGAGTGAGTGTAGGTGATTTAAAGTGTGTTTGAAACAGGTCAGGCCGAGTGACGCTGCTGTTAGATTAGTCTATGGCACGAAGTCCAGTCCCCCGCTGGGCTGAGTACACTGAACCTTGTCCATAGGAGAATTGGCTTGGTTCTTAAGCTCAAGGTGTTAAGATAGAGTTAGCCTGCTTTCTTGACAGTCGAGCTGTGACCCTGACATAGTGGGGCTTCTCTCTCTCTTCCCTCTCTCTCTTTCTCTCTCCCCGTCTCTCTCGCTCCCTTTCTCCCTCTCTCCCTTTCTCTCACTGCACTCTCTCTTGCTCTCTCTCTCTCCTCTAGCTCTCTCTTTCTCTCTCCTCTCAAAGTATGTTTGTATCTCACTATTGGGAGCTTGATCTATCCTGTAGTCAGCACAGTGACTCAAATCTCGTAAGAGAACGGATAACATGCCCCCCCCCCCCCCCCCAAATAATAAAAACTTTAAAAGCCTTTCGTGAACCTTGCACTTGACTTCTTCCCGCCCTTACTAGCTCTGACCTTGCTGATAACTACTTTATTGAGGAAAGATGTACTTACTATGACTGAGATATGTGGTTGTCCCACCTAGCTATCATAAGATGAATGCACTAACTGTAAATGACTAAAATGTAAATGTAAAATGTAATAAGTTCGCTGGATCTACTTGCTATGTCTCCCACTTTATGACTTGGTTCATGTTAAGAGTTCTAGCATTCAGTCGGGACAGGATGTGCTTGGTGGTGTAGGTGAGAGGTTTGACAGGAAGCTGTGTTCAGACTGTGTGTGTGTGTGTGTGTGTGTGTGTGTGTGTGTGTGTGTGTGTGTGTGTGTCAGTGCACGTGTGTGTGTGTTTCGTTTAGCTAGGGGCCCCTGTCACATCAGTACCAGGAAACTCCCACCACAACCGGAAGCGAAAGCAGCCGCTTATAGAAACTCACTGGGGGCTGATGCTAAACCCTGTTAGAGCGTTCTGACTGAGCTGTGGCCGTGGCTCTGTAGTGGCTTTGCTAGTGTGACTGTGAGCGCTGCACAACTGTGTCGGAGGATATGCGACATGCTGCAACTACGCTTCAGATTCTGTTTGTCAGCTTACCCACAAAACCTACAGCTCCTACTAAGGCCCTGAAACCGGTTACTCACCCTCCTCACTCCTTTTCCCACCTTTTTGTCTATTGATCCTAAATGTGATTGTAATTGTAAGTGAGTGTTTATGCATATGATAATAAACAAGTTAATTTGTTCAAGTTGATATTCCAGTAGTATACTTTTGAAATAGGCAGATTGTCAAAGTAGGCCACCACACAAATACCCTTTCATTAGCCTAAGATCTTTTGTTTGCCTAGGAGCTGAAACTAAATCCTTTGTGTGTGTGTGTGTGTGTGTGTGTGTGTGTCTACCTCTATCGCTCTCTGTGCGGTCTTCAGTCTAAGGTGCGGGAGTTGGAGGATAAGTGTCGCAGCCAGAGTGAACAGTTCGGCCTGCTCAGCCATGAGCTGGAGACCTTCCGACTGCAGGCCGGCAAACTGGACCTGGCCGGCTCCGCTCTCCTCACTAACCCTGCCCTCTGCCATCTGACCAACGGTGTGGGCCTCACCGGAGGTAACCATGGCAACCGTTATTACCAGCATGACACTGATACATGCCAATGGGCAACCGTTATTACCATGATATTACCATAACCATTAAACCATATCATATTACCGTCAGGACACCAATACATTCCACATACTCACTCATATTCCCCTTATGAAATACACTCCCCATCCCAATAAATGCATCTTCATATGGCCTTCGTATGCCCACTCGGGCTCATTTTAACTACTAATATTGAATCTCCCTCAGGCACAGTCTATAGTTTCTACCAGGATTGATTGTACACATGAAGATTGCTAAACTAAAGATTGTTTGTTCCAACTCTGGACCTCCATGTAGGATTGTGTTGCTATTACTTTTTAAATCGACATGATTAAGTTTGAAAGGGATTCCACATGATGCATTCACTTTGATGCTGACCCGCACTGAGGACATAATATATTGTAATCCTGGCCGCCGCTGGCTTTAAAGTGTCCCTTAAATCCCTACTGTATCCATCCATCCATCCCTCCGTCCATCCAGCCATGTACTGTAGGTGTGCTGTTTCTGTTCTAGATCAAGGTGGCCTATGGGATGATTTGAACTCTCTGGGTGATGATATGGCCTTCTGGAGTCTGGAGGAGAGAGATACTCTCCCCTAGGACCCCTCGCTACCATGTACTGCTACTTTTCCTAGAGATCTTGGGTCATTGAGACTGTCACTGTTACTGCTACCATGAGCACTCTCACTCCCTTTCCTGGTCTTGGTTGAGTAACTTGGTACCTGAAATCACTGTTAGGTTCATTGTAATGACCCACATATTCACAGTCACTTCGTTTGGTTTGGTTGGCTTGCAGTGAGTGGCTGTATGACTGATGACACACATATACAATCCCTCTCACACACAGGTCACAAACACACACAAACAGACGTGGGTAAACAACGGTGAGTGATACTCCCTCCACTCCACTGTTTAATCAGCCTGGGACGACCTGGGCCTGCCTTCACAACCTTCACATCCTACAGATCACCCTGCAACCTGCACACCACCAACCACATAACAGCCTTTCACCTAGCTAACTACAAGCAGGTCATAGAGGAGAGAGAGACCTGAGCACTACTACCCTCCACCTAGATAACCATAGATGTGTCATAGAACACCAACTCCCCAATTAGATAACTACAAAACAGGTCACAGAAGAGAGGGGTTAGAAATGTGTATATTTGTAGCCTGAGGTGGTCCAGCAGTCTAGGCCACTGCCTCCAGAACACGTGTACCGGTGCTCACATGTGTTCCAATCCGACCCACTGCTCTTCTAGCACACTTTCTCCTCCTACCTTTCCTGTCACTCTCTCACTATCCTTTCCAGTAAACATGAAAAAAGAAAAGAGATGTTTGTTTGCTCATATCTCCCTCACTAACTTTAAGCATCAGTTGTCACTGCACCTGTACACAGCCCATCTGAAATTAGCCCGCCCAACTACCTCATCCCTATATTGTTATTTATTTTGCTCATTTGTACCCCAGTATCTCTATTTGCACATCATCTCTTGCACATCTATCATTCCAGTGTTAATACTAATTGTAATTATTTTGCACTATAGCCTATTTTATTGCCTTACCTCCATAACTTGCTAAATTTGCACACACTGTATATTATATGTATTTCTGTTGTATTTTTGACTTTGTTTTGTTTTACCCCATATGTAACTCTGTGTTGTTGTTTTTATCGCACTGCTTTGCTTTATCTTGGCCAGGTCGCAGTTGTAAATGAGAACTTGTTCTCAACTGGTTTACCTGGTTAAATAAAGGTTAAATAAAAAATAAAATAATGAAGTATCTTCCTCCTCCCTGTAGATGTGGCAGCAACTCTCCGGATGGGGGCCACCCCTTACGCTGCAGGTCTCACACGTTCCCCCACCACTAAGCACCGTGAGCTACCCACCATCAGCCTGACCAAGACCTCCAGCGCCCCCAAGTCTGTCTCTGACACCACCCACCTCTCCCCCAAGTCCGCCGAGTCCCACCACAGCCCCCATCACAGCCCACGCAGGACTAGCCCCACGCCACACGAGGTGAGAGCTCCACCAGTGTTTCGCATCGTTGAATCCCTACTTATTGCATAGGGAAAGTCACTACTTAATTCATATGTGGAGTTTCCAGTTCAACTTAAAAACATAGTATAGTAATCTCACTAACGGTAGGACTAGATGACAATTTCAGATCGGGATACTTCGGGATTTTGGCAATAAGGCCCTTTATCTACTTCCCCAGAGTCAGATGAACTTGTGGATACCATTTGTATGTATTTTTCCAGTATGTAGGAAATCAGAGGTAGTTTCGCGAGCCAATGCTAACTAGCGTTAGCGCAATGACTGGAAGTCTATGGGTATCTACTAGCGATACACACAATCATCTTCTACACAATGAGATGAAGATATTTTTAACTGCAATGCTATTTTCAAATAATTGGGTTCAAATATTCCTCAAGGTCAAACCACTCGTATGGATTGTCTCCTCCTTTTCAACTCTATGGTTAGGACAGATTGCTTGTTGAGATTACAAAATGACACCGTCATTCCTATGGATTTGCACGTCAGACCTCATGGATTTAAAAACGTCATTAGCCTTTCTATCTGTCTCTCAACACTGTACTGACTGTGCCATCTCACCGCCTAGGCTTAAACAAATCAAGGCAAATACAACACATACATTGTTAGAGATAAGACAATAGGACCCTGTTGAGGTTGGGTGGTCTAACTCTACTTTCATACAGTGTCCAGCTTTGAGCCTTAATCTTTCTCTGTCTCTCTCACGTGGCACTGTCATGTAGCGCACTGGCCAAAGACAAACGCAGCACTTATTATAGAATGCAAAACGATAAGACCCTTTTGGGTTGGGCTTTTAAACCATTTCTTCCATGTTTTTAAAGCAGCTGAGTTCTCCCTCACCCGGTGTCCGGCTGTTTGTTGTAGCTAGCTGATGTCAGTCCTGCGTGCCCCAGCCAGTCTAAGTCTCTCTGTAGTGGGTCTCTAGCCTCCCTCCCTCTCATCCATCTAAACCAACCGGCCAGGACAGGCAGCACCAGCAGCAGCTAGCTCTCTAAAGCTCATATTTAGTGAGATAATCCCACTGCTGTGGATTATTAAGGTTGTAGTAGTTGTAAGTGATTATCCTTAAAATGTTTTTTGCTGGCAGGGAGCAATAAAAATGATGGCAGTTACTTATTATTTACGCCTAATGTATCATTCAGACCCTATAATTAGACATATGGCCAGTCGACAAACAAAACACGCTCAACGTTTGTAGCAGTGTGTGTGTATATGTGTGTGCGTGTATCTGAACCCTAGCAACCCTATCAAAGTAGTGCACTATGTATAGGGATGTAGTGCAATAAAGCCTATAGGGAATAGGGTTCCATTTCGTCCGACTGGCAGCGAATGTTTGTATGTTTGTGTCGGCCTACAGCAGGGGTCAACAGGTGGCCAATGGGCCAAAACCGTCCTGCAATTGATTTTTTGGGGCCCTCCAAAAAAATCTTTTGGGGAATTTTATTTTTGGGTCAAAAAAGACAACAATCACCAGGAATGAATTCCCAAAATATTTGTATTTATGAAATCTGTTCCCAAGTATTCCCATGAATACAGAGAGACGTACAGTGGGGTTCAAAATGATTGGATCCCTTGATAAAGAAGAGCAAAAAAGATAACAGATAAAAAGATAAAGTAATACAGATACTGAGCTATATGTATTAAAAACTAAAAAATATGTTTTAAGTTAGAAGTAGGCATTGGTCTGAAGCCGAAAAATATAGGAAATTCACGAGCACCACAATGCCTACTCCTCCCATGCTCTACCAAGGTTTTCCAGCACACAGCTTTGACTTACTACAGTTGCTATGTTGGTCTAGTACTTCAAACAAAGTGAATGCAGGTTGCTTAGGATTCAAACCTTCTCAAACAGCCACGACCCTGTTAAAAATGGTCATACAATATGACACGAAAATAAAGGTCTTTGGCCACGCACACCAGTGGTGGGTTTGGCCTTCGAAAGAACAATGCATATGCAGAAAATACCTCATCCCAACTGTAAAATATGGTGGTGGATCTTTGATGGTTATGGGGCTATTTTGCTTCCACTGGTCCTGGGGCCCTTGTTAAGGTCAAAGGCATCATGAACTTTACCAAGTACCAGGACATTTTTGCCAAAAACCTGGTTGCCTCTGCCAGGAGGCTGAAACTTGGCTGCATGTGTATCTTCCAGCAAGACAATTTCCCCAAGCACACATTAAAATCCCCCTCAAAATGGTTAATTGACCACAAAATCAATCATTTTGCTATGTCCATCTCAGTCTCCGGACTTGAACCCCATTGAAAACCTGTGGTTTGAATTGAAGAGGGCAGTCCATAAGTGCAGATGAAGGATAACAAGGATCTGGAAAAATTATGTATGGAGGAATGGTCTAAGATCCCTCCCAATGTGTTCTCCAATCTCATAAAACATTTGAGAAAAAGGCTCAGCGTTGTTATCCTCATAAGGGGAGGGTGCTGGAGTATTGAAAACAGTGGATCAAATACTTTTAACCCATATCTTTTTTTAGATTTGTTTTTATTACTTGTTAAACAAAATCTATTGTGTGTATAGCATGCAATATAGCTCAATCAAGGTATAAAATGATTGTTCTTTTTCAAATACATTTACTTGTGGTCGATTTGCAGTGTACAAATGATTATCAAGTCAAAATGTTATTTGTCACATGCTTCATAAACAATAGGTGTAGGCTACATTTACATTCACATTTGAGTCATTTAGCAGACTAACAGTGAAATGCTTACTTACAGGCCCTTCCCAACAATGCAGAGAGAAAATTATAAATAATAATAATAATAACACAAGGAATAAATACACAATGAGTAACGATAATTTTTCTATTTACACGGAGTACCAGTACCGAGTCAATGTGCAGGAGTACGAGGTAATTGAGGTAGATACTCTATATACATATAGGTACGGGTAAAGTGACTAGGCAACAGGATAAATAATAAACAGTAGCAGCAGTGTATGTGAGTCAAAAGAGTTAGTGCAAAAAGGGTCAGAAGCTGTTCAGGGTCCTGTTGGTTCCAGACTTGGTGCATCGGTAATGCTTGCCGTGCGGTAGCAAAGAGAACAGTCTATGACTTGGGTGGCTGCAGTGGTGTAAAGTACTTAAGTAAAAATACTATAAAGTAGTTTTTTGGGGTATCTGTACTTTACTATTTATATTCTTGGCAACTTTTACTTCATTACATTCCTAAAAAAAAGATTGTACTTTTTACTCCAAACATTTTCCCTGACACCCAAAAGTTACATTTCGAATGTTTAGCAGGACAAGAAAATGGTCCAATTCATGGACTTCCAAAGAGAACATCCCTGGTCATCCCTACTGCCTCTGATCTGATTGACTCACTAAACACAAATGCTTCGTTTGTAAATGATGTCTGTGTTGGAGTGTGCCCCTGGCTATCCTTAAAATAAGAAAATGGTGCCGTCTGGTTTGCTTAATATAAGGAATGTGAAATGATGCAGCCAGTCAAGATGCTTTCAATGGTGCAGCTGTGTAACTTTTTGAGGATCTGAGGACCCATGCCAAATCTTTTCAGCCTCCTGAGGGGCAAGATTTGTTGTCGTGCCTTCTTCACGACTGTGTTGTTGTGTGTGCACCGAGTTAATTCCATAGTGATGTGGACACCGAGGAACTTGAAGCTCTTGACCACTAGAGCCCCATCGATGTGGATGGGGGCGTGCTCAGCCCTCCGTTTCCTGTAGTCCACAATCAGCTCCTTTGTCTTGCTGACGTTGAGGGAGAGGTTGTTGTCACTGTCCTCCTATAGGCTGTCTCATCGTCGTTGTTGTTCAGGCCTACAACCGTCGTGTCATCAGCAAACTTAATGATGGTGTTGGAGTCGTGCGTGTCCACGCAGTCGTGGGTGAACAGAGAGTACAGGAGGGGACTAAGCACGCACCCCTAAGGGGCCCGCATGTTGAGGGTCAGCGTGCTGGAGGTGTTGTTGCCTACCCTCACCACCTGGGGTCGGCCCGTCAGGAAGTCCAGGATTCAGTTGCAGAAGGAGGTGTTCAGACCCAGAGTCCTAAGCTTAGTGATGAACTTGGAGGGCACTATGGTGTTGAACGCTGAGCTGCAGTCGATGAACAGCATTCTCACATAGGTATTCCTCTTCTTCAGGTGGGATGATGGTGTTGATGTGAGCCATGACCAGCCTTTCAAAGCATTTCATGGCTACAGATGTGTGCTACGGGGCGATAGTCATTTAGACAGCTTACCTTGCCGTTCTTGGGCACAGGGACTATGGTGGTCTGCTTGACTGGGTCATGGAGAGGTTGAAAATGTCAGTGAAGTAACTTGCCAGCTGGTCAGCACATGCTCTGAGTACACGTCCTGGTAATCCGTCTGGCCCCGCGGCCTTGTGAATGTTAACCAGTTTAAAGGTCTTACTCACATCGGCTACTGAGAGCGAGATCACACAGTCGTCCAGATCAGCTGGGGCTCTCATGCATGGCTCAGTGTTGCTTGCCTCGAAGCAAGCATAGAAGGCATTTAGCTTGTCTGGTAGGCTTGCGTCACTGCTCAGTTCGCGGCTGGGTTTCCCTTTGTTAGCCGTGATAGTTTGCAAGCCCTGCCACATCCGATGAGCGTCAGAGCCGGCGTAGTAGGATTCGATCTTAGTCCTGTATTGACGCTTTGCCTGTTTGATGGCTCGTCGGAGGTCGTAGCGTGATCTCTTATAAGCGACTGGAACTGTTTTATCGAGACACAAATATCCTTTTTCATTTGGCGCATAGGCGCATACAGACGCAGCTTGGCTACATTGTAACCCTGAAGTGGCCATGGTGCGCTCTCATATGGGGCTCAGCCAGGACTGTTACTTTTGTAATTGAATGAAAACATTTTAACAATGTGATTTAACTGATTGAAGTTGGAAAAATAGATGGCAAAAATGCAGAATGGCGTTAAATGCCTGTAAACAGCTTGGGGAGGAAAATTATTTCACAGATTTAATCATGTAATATTAGGCCTACTGATTATTTCTCAATTGCAAGCTACTCATTGACAGCCCGCGACTACCGGACATACAGTTTTCTGCTAAGGTGCATGCAACCTTTGGTAGGCTGATGGAAGGCTACTCAGAGTCAGAGTCTGCGCTACAGCAAATCAGACATGCCCGTGCTCGTCATGGTTCTTACAGGCAAAATGAAATGATACAATGAATTTGCTTGTGGTGCACGCAGCTCAAATTATATGTAACATTGGACCGGTGTTTCCGTTAGCCAGAAATTGCCGTCTTTTGGCCGATAAAATTTATTAAAAGCCAATAAATACAATTGTAGCCAGCCAAATTGTCCGGGGCGGCATATCATACATCCCGATTTCACGCTTCTGCACCATGCATGTAGATGTCCTAACCGACTTGCCAAAAAACTATAGTTTGTTAACAAGAAATTTGTGGAGTGGTTGAAAAACGAGTTTTAATGACTCCAACCTAAGTGTATGTAAACTTCTGACTTCAACTGAAGGTTATACAGTGCATTTGGAAAGTATTCAGATTCCTTGACTTTTTTCTCATTTTGTTACCTTACAGCCTTAAATCTAAAATGGATTAAATTATAGTTTTTCCTTATCAATCTACTACACACAATACTCTATAATGACAAAGCGAAAACAGATTTGTATAAATGTTTGCACATTTATTAAAAATAAAAAACAGAAATACCTTATTTACATAAGTATTCAGACCCTTTGCTATGAGACTGAAATTGAGCTCAGGTGGATCCTGTTTCCATTGATCATCCTTGAGATGTTTCTACAACTTGATCGGAGTCCACCTGTGATACATTCAATTGATTGGACATCATTTGGAAAGGCACACACCTGTCTATATAAGGTCCCACAGTTGACAGTGCATGTCAGAGCAAAAACCAAGCCATGAGATCGAAGGAATTGTCCGTAGAGCTCCGAGACATGATTGTGACGAGGCACAGATCTGCGGAAGGGTACAAAAAAATGTCTGCAGCATTGAATGTCCCCAAGAACACAGTGGCCTCCACCATTCTTAAATGGAAGAAGTTTGGAACCACAAAGACTTTCTAGAGCTGGCCGCCCGGCCAAACTGAGCAATCAGGAGAGAAGGGCCTTGGTCAGGGAGGTGACCAAGAACCCGATGGTCACTCTGACAGAGCTCCAGAGTTCCTCTGTGGAGATGGTAGAACCTTCCAGAAGGACAACCATCTCTGCAGCACTCCACCAATCAGGCCTTTATGGTAGAGTGGCCAGACGGAAGCCACTCCTCAGTAAAATACACATGTCAGCCCGCTTGGAGTTTGCCAAAAGGCACCTAAAGGACTCTCAGACCATGAGAAACAAGATTCTCTGGTCTGATGAAACCAAGATTGAACTCTTTGGCCTGAATGCCAAGCGTCACGTCTGGAGGAAACCTGGCACCATCCCTATGGTGAAGCATGATAGTGGCAGCATCATGCTGTGGGGATGTTTTTTAACGGCAGGGACTGGGAGACAACTCAGGATCGAGGGAAAGATGAACGGAGCAAAGTATAGAGAGATCCTTGATGAAAATCCGCTCCAGAGCGCTCAGGACCTGAGACTGGGGTGAAGGTTCACCTTCCAACAGGACAACGACCCTAAGCACACAGCCAAGACAACGCAGGAGTGGCTTTGGGACAAGTCTCTGAATGTCCTTGAGTTGCCCAGCTAGAGCCGGACTTGAACCCGATCGAACAGCTCTGGAGGACCTGAAAAAGCTGCGCAGCAACACTCCCCATCCAACCTGACAGAGCTTTAGAGGATCTGCAGAGAGGAATGGGAGAAACTCCCCAAATACAGGTGTGTCAAGCTTGTAGTGTTACACCCAAGAAGAGTCGAGGCTGTAATCGCTGCCAAAGGTGCTTCAATAAAGTACTGAGTCAAGGGTCTGAATACTTATGTAAATGTGATGTTTCAGTTTTTCTTTTTTTATACATTTGCAAAAATTTCTACAAACCTGTTTTTGCTTTGTCATTATGGATTTAATCAATTTTAGAAAAAGGCTGTAACGTAACAAAATGTGGAAAAGGTCAAGGGGTCTGAATACTTTCCGAATGCACTGTAAGTAGTTCTGTTGTAAAATAAATATCATTAGCCTATTGTTGTCATTTATTGGGTACAGTAGCCTTTCTTGGTAATTGCTGCAATACAGCCTGTTCAAAACTTAAACCAGTTCGCCAGGATTTTGTTTCATTCTGAGCCATTTTCTTAGCCAAATTAGGATCAAACTGTAATGTTGTGTTTGCCGCAATATAACATCCTGCTCGTATTTCCCCTTAGACCACTGCGCCACTCGGGAGTACATCTGGGTGTGCATTTTCTTGTTTGCTTATGGGCTTCTACAGCTCGTTGAGTGCGGTCTTAGAGCCAGCATCGGTTTGTGGTGGTAAATAGACGGCTATGAAAAATATAGATGAAAACTCTCTTGGTAAATAGTATGGTCTACAGCTTATCATGAGGTATTCTACCTCGGGTGAGCAAAAATGTGAGACTTCCTTAACATTGGAGATCGTGCACCGGCTGCTGTTAACAAAGAGACTCACCCCTCCTCCCTCATCTTACCTGATTATAGTCATGTTCCGGGAAAAAAAACGTCTCGTGGCTGAATCTAGTTGCCTACCCCTCGCCTACAGTATTCACCATAGCCAGAGGAAATCATAGGCAGTCAGATCATTAAGCTGATGCTATGTGGTATTAAAGGGAGCATTTTCAGAGAAGAGAACATTCCGTATAAGCAGCTTGTTAGTGGCCAGTGTCCCAATCCACTGTGAATTGTGCCCACTGCCCACGTTATACATAAATCTCATTGCACAATCTCTGAGGGAGGAAGTCAATTCCAGAAAAACATGATATCCTGCGTGTGGCCCTGGCCTTCTACTATTCAGGAGGCATTGATCCAGCCGGGGGTTGGGAAGATTTTGACCTGCTGGCAGCTCAAGGTTCCAATAAAAATGATATATACCACTAAGCAGGCGCTTTTATCCAAAGCCACTTTACATTTTTAGTATGAATATGTGATCCTGTGAGAATTTAACCTGGCTAGGAATGGACATTGCTAGGAATTGACAAAACCCTGCAGGAATTGACATTGCTCACACCAAGCTCTTACCAACTGAGCCACACAGTACAACAGGTTTCCAGTGGCCTCATTGTTGACTGTCATGTTCTCAGGTTGACACGGCCAGTGAAGTGGAGGAGTTGGACATTGATGTGTCCCCAGCACCTTACACCACTCCCAGAGGAGCCGCCAAGCTACAGGTCTTCATCGCCAGATACAGGTAAGGACTGGCATACAGATTTGGCCAAAGCAGCAGTATGCCTTCACTAAAGTGGCGGTATTTAGTAGATTGAATTGGAGACCAGTTATGTTTATATTTTTCTTTTCAGAAAGAATGTTATCGTTTTTTCTATCTCAGTATTCAACTTTAACAATACGATGAGATGGGTTATGTTTCTAATACATTAGTGTTGATAATGTGGCTTTATTTTTCTCCAGCTATAACCCCTATGATGGTCCAAATGATAACCCAGAGGTGGAGCTACCACTCACCGCTGGGGAGTACATCTATGTGTATGGCGGTATGGATGACGACGGCTTCTATGAAGGTGAGCCTTCTCCAAAACCTTAAAGGGGCAATCAGCAGTTGCTACATCCATTTTTGGACTTATACATTAATGATATGAAAACATTGATTCTTGAAGAATATAACATATATATGCCTCATGAGCTTAGTTCAACGGTCGTGCTCCATCAAAACCCAAAATATAAGGTTGTTTTACTCCAATGTTTGTAAACAGATACTATATAGCCTCAAAACATGGTTCAACATTCATTTTGATATCATGGATGGTCAGTCTGAATTTGAATTTGAGTGGTTACATTTCTCCAACCCCATCCCTCATCATTTTACCAAAACAGGGGTGGGGATTACACTTTGTTATTGTTTCTACTGCTGATTGCCGCTTTAATTTCATAAAAGTTTTATAAAGTTACATTTTTTACACTGAAAGTTACCATTTGAACACTGACATTTTAACACGGTCAAAGTTTTTAGTATCTGTGATGACATCCAAACACAAGTCTCTCTCTCTCTCTCTCTGTGTCCCCCTGCAGGAGAGCTGATGGACGGGCGGAGAGGGCTGGTCCCCTCCAACTTTGTGGAGCGCGTCTCAGACGACGACATGATGAGCGCCCACGTTGCAGAGGGCACTGACATATCCCACAACTCCTTGCTGGACAGCAGCCTGCACAGAGCCAGCCACCAGCACCACCTCCGCCTGGGGGGCCCAAGTACCTCTGAGAGGACCGACCCTACGTCTGCAGCCTCCGCCTCAGGTCCTCTCTCCGTCTCTTTCCCCTCAGGGGAGCAGGTCCTGGCTCCCTCCGACCCCTCCCTCCGAACCCTCCTCTCCCCAGCCCCCCTCACCAACGGCCTGGACCTAGACCTGGAGGTGGGGGTGGACACTGTGCCTTACCCGCGCAAGCTCACCCTCATCAAGCAGTTGGCCAAGAGCATCATCATCGGCTGGGATGGGCCGCTGGTGCCGGCGGGCTGGGGCAACGTGTGGAGCTACAATGTGTACGTGGACCAGGAGCTGAGGCTCAACGTGCCCTTCGGCTCCCAGACTAAAGCTGTCCTAGAGAGACTAGACGTCAATCTCAAGGCCTACCGGGTGTCTGTACAGAGCCTGACGGAGCGCGGCAGCTCGGACCAGCTCCGTTGCTCCATGCTGGTGGGCAGGGATGTATGTGTGGCGCCCACCCAGCTCAGAGTCGACCGGGTCACCGCCACCTCGGCCAGCCTGGCCTGGCTGCCCAGCAACAGTAACTATGTGCACATTGTGTCCTTGAACGAGGAGGAGATGGAGCTGGTGAAGGCTGGCAGCTACTCGCTGTGCCTCAGTAACCTTACGCCCAGCCTGCACTACACAGTCAAAGTGGAGGCTCGGCCGCACCAAACCCCCTGGGAGCTGCCCCTGGAGAGACGGGAACACAAGACTGCCACAACTACCTTTACCATGCTGGCCGCAGGTACGTGAGCAAACAGGGTAGAGAGATACTGGAGATACCGTACTCAAATCCGAGTATGAAGGGCTGAAGAACTGCTGGTTTAATTTGTTACACGAAAATAGATTCCACTCACCTGGTGTTCCCAGGTCTTTAAAACAGGCCCTGATTAGTGAGGACGAATTAAATCAGGGGTCTGTTTAAAACCTAAGATTTGCTTGTCTTCTAATGTTTATAACCTCCTCTCCCAGGCCCCCCTGATGCTCCTCTGGACGTGCAGCTGGAGCAGGGGCCCTCCCCGGGCATCGCCCTCATCAGCTGGCTGCCTGTCACCATCGATGCTGCTGGGACCTCCAACGGAGTCCGCGTCACCGGATACACCATCTACGCTGACAAGAAAAAGGCAAGAACTGTAGTGTTTCTGGACCTGAATGCACTGGAAACAGAGCAGAGTGTTTAAGGTTTTGGATGTCTGTCAGTGTTTTCAGAGAGGTTCTGTGCTCTAAAGGCCCATTGAGTCTGTGTTGCTCTCTTCCTCAAGACGCTGGTGTGTGTTTAAGTGTGCCACAGTATTTGCAGTGCTTCAGCTCGGGCTGTGAACAGTATCTGTGATGATGCCTTGTCGTATGCCGCTGACTTTTGTATCCTTTAAGTCACAAGTGTTTTATGTCTCTGTGTGAGTATTTTGCTGTGAGGATTGTGTGTGTAGAGAGTGTATATCTGTGCTGCTGACACTACCCATCTCCTCTCCTGCCATGCCCTAGGTGTTGGAGGTGTCATCCCCTACGGCAGGCAGTGCCCTGATGGGTCCGTCTCAAATCCAGTCCCTTACGGCGGCCCACCAGCTCACCGTGCGCACCATGTCCGCCCACGGCGAGTCCACCGACTCTGTGCCAGTCAACGTGCCCGCCAAGCTAGCCGCCATCATGACGGGCAAGGCCTCGGCTACCTCCGCCCCTTGCTGCTCGTCACCCCCCGTCGACCAGTCAACCCCAGTGCACCAGTCGCCCTCCATTCACCAGTCACCACCCTACCAGTCACCCCCTGTCCACCAGTCGCCACCCGTCCACCAGTCACCCCCCTTCCTGTCTTCGTCACCACCCGTCCAGCCCCAATCCCCATCCTATGGGAACTCAGCTGCCAAAGTCTCCACGCTACCCTACGCCATGGCCTCGCCGCCGCTAGATGCACACACCATGGTCCCCAACGGGGGGCTGCCCTCTGCCAACTCTCCCCCAGTCCACACCCTCCACACAGAGGCCTCCTCGCCGCGCCCTGCCTCATACGCGGAGGCCTGGGCCAACCCCTTAGCAAAGTCTCCTGCCCCCCCTCAGGACGCCTTGGCAGTGCATGAGGCCACCATGTCACCTCCAGTAGCACCAAACTATCAGGCCAAGTTGCCATCAGTACCGTCAGCCTATGAGGCTATGACGTCACCACCAATACAACCAGCCTATCAGGCCATGCTACCACCAGCCTCTCACATCAACACAACGGTACTTACAATAATGCTACAACACCTGCTCTAAATCTCTCATCTAGAACTCTAGAACTCACCTCATGGCTCCAGACTTACTTTTTCCCCTGGTGTCACTGGTGCCACTATTTTTATGTGTAACCTAAATCAGTGATTGTCATGAATTTTGGGTTGACAATTATGCTATTGTTGCTATATTTTACTCTCAATGTAGGGCTCTAGAATTGCACATTTATTTTGTTCAGTAGAGATTAATTTTCTTAGCTAGATATTTTGTGTGTACAAATTAAATATCACATAAGATAATTTATTTGGGGCTAATTCACCATCTGAGGAAGTGGAAAATCAAAATGCATTAGGTAGATTGCTAAATATAATATGTTGCTTGTTAGCCGTGTAATTGATGAATGTAATAGTAAATGTAATGTCCTAAAAACTGTGCAGCATTTATGTCTATAGCCTATGCAGTCACCGCAAATGGCAGATGTGCGCTTCCCGTATCTCAAAGCCATAGCCTACCAGATACTTTGGTTAAAAACGGTGCTCAAACGGTCGATGTTGAGAGTTGAGAAACACATGTAATACCTGCAGAAAGCTGAGACCCGCCTCTCACCAACAGGCACGACAGCTTTCAAACTGTTTATTTTGCCGCAATTGCATTTTATAAATGTTGCAATAATTTTTCTCTCCCTCCCCCTCTGCCCCTAGCCTACTCAGCGCAAAGGGAGAAACAGACACAGGGGCAGGGCAGACACTTTCATGCAGGAAAATAATGCACTTTAGGCTACTGTTCTTTCAAATCATGCTTTTAGCTGCCTCAAAATAAAATGTTTTGAGTGAAGTGACCAGCTTGAATTTGCAGTTCGCACCGATGTGACCAATCAAACATTTTACTCGCACAGCCAAGTCTAAGAGTCGCAAAATGCGACTAAATGTTCACAGGCGGGAGCCCTGCAACTGCTCTTGAATATATAGGTATGTTATTATCTAGTCTACATTATTGTAACTATTTTAACTAAGTGTATGTTGTATGTTCTCCAGGTCAATGCAGCCCTGCCCCCCACCCAGAGTCCAGTCCCAGGCCCAGTCCCAGCAGCAGCCATGGAGCAGAGCAGAGCAGTCACAGAAAGCCCCGGAGCTCCCCGTCCCGGCATGTCCATCACAGACTTTCTCCCCGTGGAGGACTACTCCCGTGCAAACCTTTCAACCCCTGAGCCCTGCCCTACCTCACCCCAGGACAGACACTCTCTCCGGCCCCCCAAAGCCCCCTCTCCCCTGGAGTCAGAACCAGACTACTCCATGGAGAGGTCGACCGCACGCCTGGTGTCCATGGAGGAGTTCCTCAGGCAGGAGCAGGACCCAGGCTTCAGCAGGCAGCCACAGGTTGGTTGGTTAGTTAGTTAGTACTGACCGTGCTTTTTTTGAATATGGCACATTAAATATCATTGCCAGTTTCCTGGGCAGATGCAATTGCATGGCAACTCTGATGTATTCTTTATTGTTCCAATGTTCCCCTCACATTGGCTAGTACTCTGTGCTTTAATCCTCTGATGATGTTCATTACAGAAATAAACTCTTGGAGAGTGGGGTGGCCATGCCCTCACACACAGGTTGAAGAGTACCAACATCACCCAGCCTCACCCAGCCTCACCACTTGATTAGATGAACCAGTAACTCCTCTAGGTCTAGGAAAGGCTGTGGGATCATTACCTCGTATTTATCAACATGGTGCTTTAGACTAGAGCAGCGGTTCCCAAACTAGGGGTCACGACCCCATGTGGGGTCACCTGATATGAAATGGGGTCGCGGGAGAATTTCCAAAATCCTGTTGTTGTTTTTTTTACAAAATATATAGTGTTTTATATATATTATAAAATCGTCTTTGTATCTCAAAATCATTGTAAAGTGGTTAACCTTAAAAATCAAAATCAAAATTATTCAAATCTAAAAGATAAAATTCAACCGGAGAGCGCCCTTAGCTCATGGGAAAAGGCCGTACTTGACCATTGCACTTGAATCATTCCACAGTGAATGGATAGGCCTGCTACGATATGAAACCACACACTATTGCAGAGACTTTGATATTACTGGACACAATTGATATGGTGAAAATAATGTGTTGGGAGGCAGAGTCACAGAAACTCACATCAATACCTTTGTCAGATAGGAAATAATTCTTATTGGAGAGAGTCTTTCAAAAGCGAACCATGCCCCCTTCCCTCGGCTGTGCATGTTTCTAACAGAAAACAGGATCAGTAAGTGTCCCACACAAGTGATGGCTGCGCACCTCCAACGCTTGGAAGAGCACTTTGGGACCTGCTTCCCAATCCGTTTGACTGTGATCCTGGCTCAGTTGACATGCCGGTAAATGAAATCAAACAACTGATCGAGCTGTCATGGGTACCGAATGCTGCAGACAACGCATTTACAGGTCACTAAAGAGGAGTTTTGGTTCCTGACACAAAGGGAATACTGTGCTGTCTCCCTCCGAGCACTAAAACTCATTGTACCCTTCGCCAGCTCATATCTGTGTGAAGCTGGATTCAGTGCTCTCGTCTGCATTAAAACCAAATATCGATCCAGGTTGGATGTGACAGCAGAGATGAGGGGCGCACTGTCGACCACGCCCCCTGACTTTGAGAAGTTCCGACGTGACCCGTGTCAAGCACACCCATCTCATTAGTGGTAGTTAGAAAAGAGAAATTATGTCAGACTAATTTGCAATTGACTGCCGTAGCCCCAAATAAAAAAGTTAACTTTGGCTGTAATTACATAATTTATTTCACATGGTTGGGGTCGCAAGAATTTTCAGATATCAAAATGGGGTCATGGGCCAAAAAAGTTTGGGAACTCCTGGACTAGAGAGCATTGAGGATAGAGGCAGAATACCAACATATACCAACGTTCATAGTAAAATGTCCTACTATGAAAATTATCATTTGGAGGATTGACCTAATCAATTTACGTTTCACTCGTATTGGCAGCAAAAAAATGAATACCAATCAAAAATATCAACTCTAAAGGTAGATTTGTATGTTTTATATGGATTAGATATAGGCTATGACGTGATTGGTTATTCCACATGCTCTTAGCCTGTCCTGTTGTGCTGTGTGGTTGTGTTCTGTGTGTCAGGGTTATGCTGGTGGCCTGGTGGAGCCTCCGTACCGTGCAGCAGAGAGCAATAGGGGCTCGGACCTGTCGGATATCCTGGAGGAAGAGGAGGAAATGTACTCAGACCCCCCTGGACCCACCCTGGCCCGGGGGTACACCACAGGAGCCGACAGGGTAAAAACTCACAACACATACTTGATTTGACTGATCTTTCTGAGGACAGCCTCTGTTTTTGTTACGTTTGCTTAACTTTCCCTCTTTCATTCTTGAATTCACTCACCGTTTTGATTCTTTTTTTATTTTTTTGTACACCTCTCCTTTGTATGTTACACTTCACCCCTACCTTATGCCACGTGCCCTGCCCAACCTGCTCACATCCACCTCCTTCCTGACCTCCTATCTCCATCTCCTACATCCAACCTCCTACCTTCAACCTGTTACACCCGCTCCTCTGTGACCCTTGACCCATGACCCCTGTAGCCAGACCAGTGGGAGGTGCCGGACAGTGACGAGGAGATTCTGGAGAGGATCCTGAAGCTTCCTCCTCAGGCCCAGACTCAGGCCTACGACTACCATCACGGTCATCATCACCACAACAAGCACCTGTTCAGCATCCCAGAGGTCACTGATGAAGAGGACAACAGCGTGGACGAGGACTATAATCACCGTCGCCACCGCAGACAGTCCCAAGCCAGGCCCAGCCGCACACACCTCCACCCCGATGACCCCCACTACCACAGCCCCCGACACCAACCCCAGCCCCACCACAGCAGCAGAGCCGAAGCCAAAGAGCCTTTACCCAGACACAGTGGTGGTGCTGTTGTCAGGGCCCGGCCCCAGCACAGGGTCCACTACGCAGACACAGTAGACAGCGTCAGCTACCCTGAGGAGGGGGAGCTGGTCCTCGGGCCCAGTAGGGAGACGTGGGTGCGTCGGGCCCCCCAGAAGGCCCACCAGGTTGGGGGAAGGAGCGGGGTGGAGACAGTTTCCTTGGTAGGCGGGCTGGGGGACAGGCTCAGACGAGAAGCCTTGCTACGGAGTCAGATGGCGGTCGCAGCGTTAACGTCCCAGGCCACCGGCCACGCACCACACTCTTACCTAGTCAGCAAGACCGTTCGGACGGTCAAGTCCCCTGTGGGCTCGGTAGCAGAGATCGACATTGAGTATGGGACTGACGAGGAGGAGCCGTTGACCTATGACCGCGGGGAACGAGGGGAGGTGGTGGTGGAGCAGATGAGTTCTGAGTGGTGGGTGGAGGGGTCACAGCCTAACCCCCTCACTCTGGCCCTGCGCCGGGGAAAACCTGCCCTCCAGGCCATCGCATCTGCTGCAGCAGAATGGGTGTGTTCTCACTCGTTGTACCCTGTGGCTGTATTTGGATTCCCTCTCCTCTGCCGGCGTCTGTGTAGTCGTCTTGTCATGCGTCTCATGTCCCCTCTATCTGAGATCCTAGCAACCTAGCCTCTGTCTGTCTGTCTGTCTGTCGGGCGGCACCGTTGCTTCTCTAGACTCATTCAACCAGCACAAGGCCTGAAAAACCACCTGGTCCTTATTGCACACTACTCATGTCTCTAACCCTGCAGTGCCTTACTGTCCAACCTGAATGCAAGTTATTGTCTGTGTGCTGCTGTCTTTCTCTCTGACTGACTGTGTGTGTGTGTGTGTGTGTGTGTGTGTGTGTGTTGACCAGGAGCCTGGCAGAGACCCGTCGATGGAGGCTGGTGCTGGGTGGAGCGGACAGGATGAGCTCTCTCCTAAGCTGACCAGGGTAGAGGCCAGGCAGCAGCTCAATGGTCAGAATCATCAAATTTCTCATCATCACTTTCTAAACAGCCTACTACTATATAGTATATTTAGATTATAGAATATCGATCTTAGTCTTATCTGATGCTCTCGCCAGAGATCTCTCTATATACTATTATACTCTCATATATATATCATTCTTCTTATCTAAACTAATTCTATCTTGACTATATGTCTCTATTCTCTTCTCTCTCTCTATCTCTCATTTTCTATCTCTCTCTCTCTGTCTCTCTCTTATCTCTCTCTCTCTCTCTTATTCTCTCTTTCTATGTCTCTCTCTCGTCTCCTCTTTATCTATGTCTCTCTCTTTATCTCTGTCTCTCTCTTATCTGTCTCTCTCTTATCTCTGTCTTCTCTTTATCTCTGTCTCTCCCCTTATCTGTCTCTTCTTTTATCTCTTCTCTCTTTATCTCTGTTCTCTCTTTCGTCTGTCTTCTCTTTATCTCTTCCTCTTCTTTTTTCTCTGTCTCTCTCTTTTATCTCTGTCTCTCTCTTATCTCGCTCTCGCTTTATCTCGTCTCTCTCTTTATCTCTCTCTCTCTTATATCTCTGTCTCTCTCTTTACTTGTCTTCTTTTATCTTTACTCTGTCTCTTCTTTATCTCTGTCTCTCTCTCTCTCTCTGTCTCTCTCTTTATCTCTGTCTCTCTCTTTATCTCTGTCTCTCTCTTTATCTCTGTCTCTCTCTTTATCTCTGTCTCTCTCTTTATCTCTGTCTCTCTCTTATCTCGTCTCGCTTTATCTGTCTCTTCTTTATCTCTGCGCTCTGCTTAGATATTTCTCATCTCTATCTCTCTCCTATCTTGCTCTCCTCTGTCTGCCTCTGCTATCTCTCTCGTCCTCTCTTTCTTATGCTCTCCTCATCTTCTCTCTCGTGTATGCGCTCCTGACTATGGCATCGCTCTGTCTCTCTCTCTCTCCTTCTCGGTCTCTCTATACTCAATGCTCTAATCTCTCTCGTTATCTCTCGCCGAGAGAGCTCTCCTCTCTCTCTCTCTCTCTCTCTCTATATCTCTCTCTCTCTCTCTCTCTCTATCTCTCTCTCTCTCTCTCTCTCTCTCTCTCTCTCTCTCTCTCTCTCTCTCTCTCTCTCTCTCTCCCAGAAAGACACCAGGATGTCAGATTACCAGTTTGTGTGGTGGGGGGGGGGGGGGTACTTTAACAGGGATAGGGTGATAGGGGAGAGCGAGAGAGCGGTCTGTAAGCTTAGAACCAGCTTAACTCCAAAATGGCTCGTCATGACATGAGATGGATGGGAGGACGTGACAACCATGAAAATAGTACCCTAGATTAGCCCGCAGTGAAACCAACCAAGCCGGAGTCTCTCTCTCTCTCTCTCTCTCTCTCTCTCTCTGCAGCTTTCTCTCTCTTAGTCCCTATCTATCTCTATCTCTCTCTCTTTCCCTCCCTCCTCTCTCTATTTCTGCCTCTTTCCCTCCCTTTCTCTCCCACTCTCTCTTTCTCTCGCTCTCTCTCTTTCTCCCGCTCTTTCAATCTCACAGCTGTGTTCTCATGGAAAAGGTCACAGATATAGTTCTGCTATTCCCAGCAGCAGGTGGAAGAACAAAGAGCGTGCAGATAGATACACAGGACATATGCACGTACGCCCAACGACACTAGAGCGGGAGGGAGGGATCAGCGAAGATGACGTTCTCACATACAGTATCTCCAGATATCTATACAGACAGAGGATATGAATGTGGTCTATTTCTTCCTGTCAGCTCTGCTCTGCTTGCCTATAGCCTGGCTGTTGCTACATACAGATGGGCTGATCCCTCCTAATGAGATAGAACCTGGTCTCATTGGTGCAGCTTAAGTCCTAGTTGACTACAGCAGTTCACATTCCCTACACTGCCCTATAGGTCTGCATATAGGTCTAAGTAATCAGTCATCTTGATCACTACATCACATAGACCAGTGTTGGGCAACTCTAATGGAGGTGGGGGCCACACAAAATCTGAACTCATCCTAAGGGGCCGCAGTGGCTGGCAGGTGTGGGTACCCACATCCATACACACATATGCAGTCAGAGCTGGCCCTAGCCTTTTGGGGGCCCTAGCCTTTTGGGGGCCCTAAATGAAACACACATTTTAACAGAGTGGGAGTGGGCTCTACCATGTGGATATCGAGAACTGTGGGAGTGGGGGATGTGTGTGGGTTTGTGTGACCAGGCAAAACCAGGTGTATGAACTTTTGAAATATTTGGGTCCTTTGCACAGCAATGATTAGGCTAACTGTTGCTCCAAATAATGTGGGTTCTGTTTGTGTGTTTGCATGAAGAGAGCATGGAGCCTGCACGGCCTATTGGAGACAACGAGGTGCGTATCTTTGTGGCGCTGTTCCCCTACGACCCGGTCAACATGTCCCCGAACCCTGACGCCGCTGAGGAGGAACTGCCCTTCAGAGAGGGACAGATCATCAAGGTATGGAACCCAACTGGTTAAAACTGGTTAAAACTGGTTAAAATTATAGTATTGCCTGCTGGAATAGTGATATCCCTGGCACTATGTTTTACACACTCTCTCATCTAATCTATCATTAATTATAGGGTGTTTAAGGCAAAATGTTCTATTCATGAGTCTGTACGACAGTAATAGCACAACCTCACGGCAGCCATCTTGTTTTCTCACTCTTCACTTTCCCCATCCTCCATGTCCTGTCTAGATCTACGGAGATAAAGACTCAGACGGGTTCTACCACGGCGAGTTGAACGGTCGTCACGGTTACGTGCCGTGTAACATGGTGTCCGAGATTCAGGTGGAGGACGAGGAGACCAGAGAGACACTCCTGCAGCAGGGCTTCCTGTCTACTCACGCAAACATGGAGAAGATAGGTAGGCACAACTGTCAATCACAGCACCAGTCAATCATCAAAGGGTTTTACAGCTGTCAATCATATCAACGGCCAATCCCAGCAGGGTTCATCCCACAAGTGTCCAATTAAACAGGGCCCTTCTCTGATCCAAGTGACATACTGCCCATGTAATCAAACAATCAATCAAGTACATAGTATTTGTATAATTCTTTCTGTTTGGTGTCAGCTCAATGGTTTGTATTGATGTTGTCAGCCTGTACACTTCACTTTAAAATATGCACCAACTGCGGTCTAACACTTTTCAACAGGTGTGGGTAGGTTCTTTGCCGTTTTGTTTGAATGAAATCCCCATTGTCCATGTTGTGGAGTGGAAGTGAAAGAAAGTCAAAATGGCAATACAGAAGTACTACAGAGGTACTACAGAGGTACTACAGAGGTACTACAGAGGTACTACAGAGGTACTACAGAGGTACTACAGAGGTACTACAGAGGTACTACAGAGGTACTACAGAGGTACTGTAGCTATGACCTTTAGGGTGAAGTGTCAGATGTTGTGAGTTTAATAACAGATTCCCCAAAGCTGCTCCATTTTTCTTTTTCTTTTTCACTCCTCTGTTGCTAGTCTTGAAATCAACCAGCTGTGACTCGATAATATACTGTACTTCAAACTTGAATAATTTGAAATGAAAGCAAAAGTCTTTGTTTCTTCACCACAATCTGTTGGGGGAAATCCTTACAACTGTTAAAACAGCAGCTGTGTCTATATTAATTTGACCCATTAACTTGTTACTGTAATTGAGTTGTAACTTTAAATGATCCATTTACTGTGTAAGAATTAACTAAACTGGCCAAATTGCACTATTTGATTAGATTCAAAAAGAAAACAGAAACTAATCTGAGGGGTATCCTACGAAGCAAGCTAGATCTACTCAGAGTTTTCTAAAGCTAACCAGCTTCAGTTAGCCTTACATTGCAGCTCAGGCTTCATCCATATACTACGACGGTGGATATTGCTCCTCCACCTGCCTTTAACTCTAGCAGGCTTGTAACTGCGCGTGCATGTCGCACGTGGCTAGTCGATCGCCGAACTCTTAATTGAGACAATTCTGAAACATTAATCCATGGCAAAGTCAGTGCCACATTTTCATTTGTGCCAAAATCAAAATGAAGGAAAAGTTATCTTGCAAATTCAACAGGCTATGGTGTGAAATAGGCTTTTAGAAATGCCGTCTTCTCTGTGCTTATCAATGCATGAGCACCTTGTTTCCCACTCCTATCGATAAAATAATTGTATCTTAATAATAATAATAATAATTGTATTTGTCATACAAAAGTTTTACTGTGCGTGAAGTTACAAATGTATTCTGTCATTACTAAATAATGTGATAGGTATTTTAACATTTTACAATTTACAAAAAAACATTTGATTAATAAAATCTTCAATCAGTCTTATTCCTCCCGAGTGGCGCAGCGGTCTAAGGCACTGCATCTCAGTGCTTGAGGCGTCACTACAGACCCCCTGGTTCGATTCCAGGCTGTATCACAACCGGCCGTGATTGGGAGTCCCATAGGGCGGCGCACAATTGGCCCAGCGTCGTCCGGGTTTGGCCGGTGTAGGCCGTCATTGTAAATAAGAATTAGTTCTTAACTGACTTGCCTAGTTAAATAAAGGAAAAAAATTAAAATAATCCTCAAATGAAGGGGATGATGATGCAATCTTTGCGAGAGGGAGGGAATCTGATTTCATTGGTCCTCAACTCGCCGCTCAGACACTTCATTCAGGATAAATGGAGTTAGCCCTGAGTTAGCCTGCCCAGGAGCAGGTTAGTTCTGAAGGATTCGTTGCCATAGAAATGTACCTTACTAAAAAGTTAGTCACATTTGTATGACTGGTTATCCCGAGTTGAACTCAGAGTTGACCGAAGTTACCTCACTAACTCCTCAAACCTGATTCGTAGGATACCCCTCTGTAGTTCAGCCTATCTGCTTTGTATGCTCTCATGGTTTGTCTTCACTTAGACTTGATTGTGTCGCTGACTGTTTTAGGATATTCATCCCAGCTTCTGCTTTTGCCAAGCCTAATTCTCTTTTAGTTTTTCATTGACTCTGTGTCATGCAAATCACTTCAAAGAAGTGCCAGAAACTTTAGTTTGTGTAATAAGCTCTGGGGGTTAAGTGCTATGGACCACCACGCACACAAACACACACACAGGCGCACACACACACCCTCACAACCCACACACAGCATTACCCACCCAGCCAACTAGATCAAGCTGACAAACAATATGCTTCTATTTCCTGCATATCTTTCCCCCAAAATGATCTCTGCAGATGTTTTAACCCTTTCACTTCCACATGGTCTCACTTGCTGGGTTCTGTTCACTTTTCATTATTATTGGTTGGTTTTTTAAATGGCTTTTTACAGCCTTCAAACTCATTCTGTCTCTTGTCTGGTCTGCTTCTTCACGATTTGGTGTCTCTGTCTGTCTGTGTTTTACTTTATGGTTTCATATTTGGTTTCCCTTTTTAAAACTCCATAAAGGCACTCGCACACATGCACAGCTTCCGCGTCGCCCTGTCCCACCGCCGAAACCGAGACGATCCAAGAAAGGTGTGTCTCGCTGTCGCTGCTGACTGGCTTTCTTTCTCTCCTTTCTCCCTCCCTCTTTCCCACTCTTCCTTTGGTCTGCCTTTTTTTCTCTCTCTATCTCTATCACTCACTCCTTCTTGCTCGCTGACCAGAGGGGATTTGTGGATTCACAGTATTAAATATACAGAACATTATAATGATCTGCCATAGACTGAGATGTAGTAGGTCGTTTATTTGTATTAATGCACTTGCAACTTATATGCATGGTTAAAGCATTTGAATATAGGAGTTACCATAGTTTCAGTGTGGTCCCACCCTTCAGCATCCCCTCTGATCTCCTCCATCTATCTGTGCCTCTGTCTACTCCTGTGTGACTGTCTGATATCATATCTGGCCTCAGGCTGCTCTCTCTAGGGTTGGCTTTGGTTTCTATGTTTTGGTTTGGTTGTGTGTCAGAGCCAATTAGGACCGGGGCGAAATCCTTTAACCTGCTTCTCTCTCCCCACCCTACCCTACCCCACTCCCATCCCCATCTACTCTTCCAGTTGAGTCTGCTGCACTGTGGGAGGATAGCTTAGAATCCTCCAGTCAAGGTTTGTAATGTATCCATCAGTGTCTCTCTCTCTGCCTCACCAGCATGAAGGGACACCCACTCTAGCATCCACTGGAAACCTGCATGTATTAGACAAGATACACATGACATCATCATCATTATGAGACCTCTCTAAACCTTTCTCTAACTGCTCTAGCCTCCACTGGAAACCTGCATGTGAGTCGTTCCACGAAATGAGTACCTTTTGGGTAGTGTAACTTTGTGCAAAAAAAAACAACGTTATTTCACCAAATGTTTACATTCTGCCATCAAGAGCACATGTTCAAGTTAATAAAAAACATGTTTTCCCATCTCAGAAATGACTTTATTAAGTGCCAAATAAAGTAACATGGTTGACCATAACAGGGTTGATGATTTCATCTTAAATCAGCCATAAATCCCCTTGTGACAGGGGGAATGGAATCTTGTTGTGTGTAACAGGAAGGGGCAATTGAATGCAAGCTTCACAACAACAAAAAATTAAATTGTTAAAACATGTCTAGCTTGTCTATCTATGGGTAATGGAGTTGATGTCTAATGCCCGACCAAAACACCAGAAAATTGCCAAAAGGAGTAGAACCAGCTCACCTGCTTCTACACCAATGATGTATATAAACCCTGGATTGCTGATGCTATGTAATGGCCAATGAGAAGCTTGAAGCCGCTGGCTGCCATATTAGGACTTCCCAGAAGGAGCAGTCCTCCATAGGAATGAATGGAATTCTACAGTATTTCAATAAAATATTTCAAGGACAAAATTCTATGTACACTGAACAAAAATAGAAGTGCAACATGTAAAGTGTTGGTCCCATGTTTCATGAGCTGAAATAAAAGATCCCAGAAATTGCCCAAATTTGTTTACATCCCTGTTAGTGAGCATTTCTCCTTTACCAAGATACTCCATCCACCTGACAGGTGTGGCATATCAAGAAGCTGATTAAACAGCATGATCATTACACAGGTGCATCTTGTGCTGGGGACAATAAAAGGCCACTCTAAAATGTGCGGTTTTGTCACACAACACAATGACACAGATGTCTCAAGTTTTCAGGGAGCGTGTAATTGGCATGCTGACTGCAGGAATGTCCACCAGAGCTGTTGCCAGATAATTGAATGTTAATTTCTCTAGCATAAGCCGCTTCCAACGTCGTTTTTGAGAATTTGGCAGTACGTCCAACCGGTCTCACAACTGCAGACCACGTGTATGGCGTCGTGTGGGCGAGTGGTTTGCTGATGTCAACGTTATGAACAGAGTGCCCCATGTTGACGATGGGGTTATGGTATGGGCAGGCATAAGCTACGGACAACAAACACAATTGCATTTTATCGATGTCAATTTGAATGCACAGAGATACCTTGACGAGATCATTGTTGTGTCGCCATCACCTCATTCGCCTAATGTTTCAGCATGATAATGCACGGTCCCATCTGTACACAATTCCTGGAAGCTGAAAATGTCCCAGTTCTTCCATGGCCTGCATACTCACCAGACATGTCACCCATTGAGCATGTTTGGGATGCTCTTGATTGACGTGTATGACCGCGTGTTCCAGTTCCCCCCAGTATCCAGCAACTTCGCACAGTCATTGAAGAGGAGTGGGACAACATTCCACAGGCCACAATCAACAGCCTGATCAACTCTATGTGAAGGAGATGTGTCGCGCTGCGTGAGGCAAACGGTGGTCACACCAGATACTGACTGGTTTTCTGATCTACGCCCCTACCTTTTTTAAAGGTATCTGTGACCAACAGATGCATATCTGTATTCCCAGTCATGTGAAATCCACAGATTAGGGCATAATGAATTTATTTCAATTGACTGATTTCAATTGACTGATGTAAAAAACAAAATTGTTGCATCTTGTGTTTGAATTTTTGTTCAGTATATTTAAGTATTTATTTGTTGTAGTGGGGACAGTAACATTTTGTACTCTATAAAAAAATATATTTTAAGGAATAATATGTTTTTATATATATATTTTTTGTAATTGTCATTTTCAGTTCACTTGATATAATTTAAAAGTGTGCATTAAGGTGTCTGTAATAGAAAATATTTGTCAAGTGAATGTAGACATTGATAAAAGCATAAAATATTTTTTACAATGGAGGAGGAGTACCAAAATGGTTACACGTTGGCTTCAAAACAGCGCCCCTCTGTCAGTCATCTATGGTTAATACATGTCATTGTTCTACACTATGATTTGACTATTAGATGTTCGTTTCTTTCGATTTTTATTTTTTTATAGTTTCACCATATTAAAACGAGAGTTCAGTTCACGTAACAGGGTTGACCTTAAAATGAGGGACAGGTTTTGTTTACCTTAAAATTAATCACTAATCACATTAAATAAATAATCATCTTCAGAAATGACTTTGTCAATGAAGCAAAACAACTAGGGCTTTACAGTGATGGTGAAAACATAGAGAAAGGTTATGGTTAAATGGGTTAAAATATTCCTAGAAGTAACAGAGGGTGCCCAGGGGGGCACTTTAGCAAGTCTTAATTAATATAAAACATCTGATTTATAAAATTGTCCATGTGGTCTATATTACAGGACACTTCATTTAATATATAACAATCTTTTAAAATTCAATATTGGTGCACAATTTCTACTTAAAATATCAAAGGGACTCAAAAGGGACTCATTTCGTGGAACGACCCATGCGTTATACTAGATGACATCATTAACATGTGACCTCTCTAAATCTGTCTCTGACTTACTGCATCATTCTAACAGGCAGATATTAGCCTCATCCTGCTACCACCAAGGACTGTCTCAGTGTTTCTCCTATATTAATTTAGCAGTGGCGTACCACCACTCCCAATAAAGAATAATTCAAATAATTAACATTTCTGCCGAGACAAGCTTTTAAGATCAGAGTGACAACAAGTTACATATCTTCCTCCGATTCTCATCAGATCATCCGAGAAACCTTCAAGGTAACTAACTAGCTAGCTTGTAATCCTGGAAGTGTAGCCAACTCTATTAATACATGTATGTACAGTGCATTTGGAAAGTATTCAGGATTTTTTTTGGTACCCTTCCCCAGATCTGTGCCTCGACACAATCCTGTCTTGGAGCTCTACGGACAATTCCTTCGACCTCATGGCTTGGTTTTTGCTGGTTTTTGCTCTAACATGCATTGTCAACTACAGTGCCTTGCAAAAGTATTCATCCCCCTTGGCGTTTTTCCTATTTCCTATTTATTTGGATTTCATGTAATGGACATACACAAAATAGTCCAAATTGGTGAAGTGAAATGAAAAAAATAACTTGTTTCAAAAAATTCTAAAAAATAAATAACGGAAAAGTGGTGCAAATAAGATCTGGTGCAACCAATTACCTTCAGAAGTCACATAATTAGTTAAATAAAGTCCACCTGTGCAATATAAGTGTCACATGATCTGTCACATGATCTCAGTATATATACACCTGTTCTGAAAGGCCCCAGAGTCTGCAACACCACTAAGTAAGGGGCACCACCAAGCAAGCGGCACCACGAAGACCAAGAAGCTCTCCAAACAGGTCAGACAAAGTTGTGGAGAAGTACAGATCACGGTTGGGTTATAAAAAAATATCAGAAACTTTGAACATCCCACGGAGCACCATTAAATCCATTATTTAAAAAATGAAAGAATATGGCACCACAACAAACCTGCCAAGAGAGGGCCGCCCACCAAAACTCACGGACCAGGCAAGGAGGGCATTAATCAGAGAGGCAACAAAGAGACCAAAGATAACCCTGAAGGAGCTGCAAAGATCCACAGCGGAGATTGGAGTATCTGTCCATAGGACCACTTTAAGCAGTACACACCACAGAGCTGGGCTTTACGGAAGAGTGGCCAGAAAAAAGTCATTGCTTAAAGTAAAAAATAAGCAAACACATTTGGTGTTCGCCAAAAGGCATGTGGGAGACTCCCCAAACATATTGAAGAAGGTAATCTGAGCTTTTTGGCCATCAAGGAAAACGCTATGTCTGGTGCAAACCCAACACCTCTCATCACCCCGAGAACACCATCCCCACAGTGAAGCATGGTGGTGGCAGCATCATGCTGTGGGGATGTTTTTCATCGGCAGGGACTGGGGAAACTGGTCAGAATTGAAGGAATGATGGATGGCGCTAAATACAGGGAAATTCTTGAGGGAAACCTGTTTCAGTCTTCCAGAGATTTGAGACTGGGACGGAGGTTCACCTTCCAGCAGGACAATGACCCTAAGCATACTGCTAAAGCAACACTTGAGTCGTTTAAGGGGAAACATTTAAATGTCTTGGAATGGCCCAGACCTCAATCCAATTGAGAATCTGTGGTATGACTTAAAGATTGCTGTACACCAGCAGAACCCATCCAACTTGAAGGAGCTGGAGCAGTTTTGCCTTGAAGAATGTGCATAAATCCCAGTGGCTAGATGTGCCAAGCTTATAGAGACATACCCCAAGAGACTTGCAGCTGTAATTGCTGCAAAAGGTGGCTCTACAAAGTATTGACTTTGGGGGGGTGAATAGTTATGCACGCTCAAGTTTTCTGTTTTTTTGTCTTATTTCTTGTTTGTTTCAACCCCAAAAATATTTTGCATCTTCAAAGTGGTAGGCATGTTGTGTAAATCAAATGATACAAACCCCCCCCCCCCCAATATCCATTTTAATTCCAGGTTGTAAAGCAACAATACTTTCGCAAGCCACTGTATATAGACAGTTGTGTGCCTTTCCAAATCATGTCCAATCAATTGAATTTACCATGATGATCAAGGATGATCAATGGAAACAGGATGAACCTGAGCTCAATTTCGAATCTCATAGCAAAGGGTCTAAATACTTATGTAAATAGGGTATTTATATATCTGTTTTTTATTTGTAATCAATTTGCAAACATTTGTAAAAACCTGTTTTTGCTTTGTCATTATGGGGTATTGTGTGTAGATTGATGAGGATTTTTATTTATTTAATCAATTTTAGAATAAGGCTGTAACGTAACATTTCACTGTAATGTCTGCACCTGTTGTATTCGGCGCATGTGACCAATAAAATTTGATTTGATTTGATTTGATTTGATTTAACAAAATGTGGAAAAAGGGAAGGGGTCTGAATACGTTCCGAATGCACTGTAATAATTGTTAGCTAAAATACAGTAACGTTACACTAGCTAAATTATTTTTTGGGTTAATATAGACTTGGCTGGTGATGTCATTGAGATTAAATTAAACTGTCCTCTATTCCCCCCCCCCCCCCCCCAAAAAAAAAAACCTAGGGGAAACATTGTGTCCGCTTGCCTGGTGATAACGACGATGATGATGATGATGATCTCCTTAAATGCATTTCCCTCTTCTCCATCTCCTAACCCTGTTTAATTTCCTTTTCTAAGTGACATCACTACATGAACTCTCATGTCTCTTCGTCTTTTACACTTACAGTTCACTGAGTGTCTGAGTGAAAACAGACTAAACTGGGGTGACTTTTATGTGACCCTCACCATCCTGCTTGCCAAAAACAACATCATCAAAGCCAGCCACTGCTGTTGTTAATCTTTTACTCTTGGTTTTCCCTGTGATGGTGTGACGCTAGCTGTGCACTGCATGATACTGAGTTACTATGAACTGCATGCTGACATGGAGATTCAAATGAACAAGGTGTGCCACTCAGAAATTGTCCAAAGTCTGGTCCGAAATCTGACTCTGTATTTCTGTGTTGGATCGACAGATCCCAGACAGTCTGGTGTTGCCATGGCGAACCCAGCAGGTCCCGTTCCTCGCAGGATGAAGGCCATCTTTGACTACGACCCTCGAGAGAGTTCTCCCAACGCTGACATTGAGGTGAGCGCCGTGATCGTCTCTGTAACACAAAAGGCTTGTGTTATAGTAAAAATTAAAAAAGACAGCAAAGTACACATTTCTTATTCAACTGACAATAAAGTTGTAACTATAATGTTGTATTGTCTGCAATGTTCCCTCGGAACTGCCGTGCAGAAGAAATATCAGCTCACGCAGAGAAGCAGGAGATTGAACTTCACTCAACTTTCTAGAGATTTCCCCGTTAGTTAACACCTATCAACATTTCCTTTTACTGTGGGAATTGTGATTGAATCAATGCAATATTAGCCACTTTTAATGCAACATACCGAAACAAAACGAACTATGCAAGATATTATGTTGTAGGCAGAACGCGTCGGAGTAGGATTCTATTGCATTGACAGGCACGACTCAAGCCCATACTCTACAGACCGGTGTGCCATAACCAATCAGAGCTGCAGTAGGCCTATATGTAAATAGATCATTGCCATATATGGATCTGTGCCATTCACTTTGAACTGGAGTGTGTTTACAGCGTGAGCGGTCGTGAGTAGAAAGCGAGAGCTACATGTAGCAACGTGTGCACATTTGTTCATATCCTTTGCTAGTTAGTGAGTTATTAGCCCAGTTATAGATCATGTGTAGTCCGCAATGGGGGAGTGATCGCTTCCTACAAGAGCACAAAACGTGCTTTCTAGCCATCTTTGAAAAGTGAGTCAGGTAAAGACCCATGGGGCGGCGCACAATTGGCCCAGCGTCGTCCAGGGTAGGGCAGGGATTTGGCCGGCAGGGGATGTATCTCAGTTGGTAGAGCATGGCGTTTGCAACGCCAGGGTTGTGGGTTCGATAAAATAATGTATGCACTAACTGTAAGTCGCTCTGGATAAGAGCGTCTGCTAAATGACTAAAATGTAAATGTAAAGAGCAGTTTTTTGTCTTAAAGGGGTAGTGTTGTATTTTGAGACAGGCTTGAATAAGCTAAGTAGCCAATAGGCAGAGGATAGCATAATTTGTCTGATTCTCTGTAATAATGGTATGGGAATAATGATGCTTTTTATTTTGTAAAGTGGTTTCTTGCATCAAAAAACACAAAATCATCAGTCAGCTCCTTGTCTGAAGGACAAGTGGATAAACAGGTTATTGTCAAGCCCTGCATGTTTTTTTCAAAAGTCTCATGGAATGTAGGCCTACATTGAACACATTGGCTACTACTTTAGGCTGAATGATAGAACAGCTATTCCCATGTTAAAATGTTATGGGATGCATTTTCTCCATTGTTTTTGATGGTAGGCCACTCTGGTAGGCCTACATTATGATCACATAACCACAGTAGCCTACTTCACCACTGTTAAATCTGTAACTTAACGTGGGTACTGCCTCAGTGTTCACAGTAAAAGCGCGCCAAAAGTTGCACAGAATTTTCACAACGTTCAAGTTTGCGCTCAGCTGACCTGAAATTTGCTCAGTGACAAAAAAATGTTTTGGGAACATTGATTGTCTGTACTGGACAATGGAAGCAAGGCTCAATGCTCAAAGCTCAAGGCTAATTTGTACCATACCAGTAAACGGACCTGCAAGTTGGAAAATATATACAGTGCATTCGGAAAGTATTCATACCCCATCACTTTTTCCACATTTTGTTACATTACAGCCTTATTCTAAAATGGATTAAATAAATAGAAAAATCCTCATCAATCTACACACAATACCCCATAATGACAAAGTGAAAACAGGTTTTTAGAAATGTTTGCAAATTTATTAAAATGAAAAACAGATACCTTATTTACATAAGTATTCAGACCCTTTGCTTTGAAGCTTGAAATTGAGCTCCGGTGCATCCTGTTTCCATTGATCATCCTTGAGATTTTTCAACAACTTGATTGGAGTCTGCCAGTGATAAATTCAATTGATTGAACATGATTTGGAAAGGCACACACCAGTCTATATAAGGTCCCACAGTTGGCAGTGCATGTCATAGCAAAAACCAAGCCATGAGGTCGAAGGAATTGTCCGTAGAGCTCCGAGACAAGATTTTGTTGAGGCATAGATCTTGGGAAGGTTACAAAACATTTTCTGCAGCATTGAAGGTCCCCAAGAACACAGTGGCCTCCATCATTCTTAAATGGAAGAAGTTTGGAGCCACCAAGACTCTTCCTAGAGCTGGCCACCCCACCAAACTGAGCAATCGGGGCTGAAGGGCCTTGGTCAGGGAGGTGACCAAGAACCCGATGGTCACTCTGACAGAGCTCCAGAGTTCCTCTGTGGAGATGGGAGAACCTTCCAGAAGAACAACCATCTCTGCAGCACTCCACCAATTAGGCCTTTATGGCCCGCTAGGAGTTTGCCTAAAGGACTCTCAGACCATGAGAAACAAGATTCTCTGGTCTGATGAAACCAAGATTGAACTATTTGGCCTGAATGCCAGGTGTCACGTCTGGAGGAAACCAGGCACCGCTCATCACCTGGCCAATACCATCCATACGGTGAAGCATGGTGGTGGCAGCATCATGCTGTGGGGATGTTTTTCAGCGGCAGGGACTGGGAGACTTGTCAGGATCGATGGAAAGATGAACGGAGCAAAGTACAGAGAGATCCTTGATGAAAACCTGCTCCAAAGCGCTCAGGACCTCAGTCTGGGGTGAAGGTTCACCTTCCAACAGGACAACGACCCTAAGCACACAGCCAAGACAACGCAGGAGTGTCTTGGGCACAAGTCTCTGAATGTCCTTGAGTGGCCCAGCCAGATCCCGGACTTGAACCCGATCTAACATCTCTGGAGAGACCTAAAAATAGCTGCGCAGCGACGCTCCCCATCCAACCTGACAGAGCTTGAGAGGATCTGCAGAGAAGATTGGGAGAAACTCCCCAAAAACAGGTGTGCCAAGCTAGTAGCCTCATACCCAAGAAGACTCAAGACTGTAATCGCTGCCAAAGGTGCTTCAACAAAGTACTGAGTAAAGGGTCTGAATACTTATGTAAATGTGATATTTAAGTTAGATTTTTTATAAATTTGCAAACATTTCTAAAAACCTGTTTTGCTCTGTCGTTATGGGGCATTGTTTGTAGATTGATGACGAGATAAAAACAATTGTATCAATTTTAGAATAAGGCTGTAACGTAACAAAATGTGGAAAAGGGGGGGGTCTGAATACTTTCCGAATGCACTGTAGTCCTATTGTAACCGCTGACACCCAAATAGCTGCCGACTTGAACCATGACTTGATCTATAACCTTGTATCCCAGGCTGAGACAGAGTCACCTGAAGCAGTGCATTCTATCCCAACATTTACCATCATACCAGCAATACGTTACATGTCCTACCCAAAATGAAGCCTGTCTGGACCTCTGTAATGGTAACATCCCAGGTGCGTATTTTTCCAAGGCACTACCCAATCTTGGGAGTTCGGATCATAACATGGTTCAGCTCATCCCAGTCTACAAACCGCGTTTGCAGCGAGGGAAGACTAAAAAGGTGGAGATTGAAAGCTGCTGAAGCCCTCCAGGACTGTTTTGAGTCCTCATGCATGGGCGGCACTGATGGACAGAGCCAATGACCTGGAAGAGGCAGCGGATACTGTCTCTGAGTACATCCGTTTCTGTGAGGATCTCGTTAATCGCAAAAAGAAAGTCAACATCTTCCCCAATAATAAACCGTGAGTAACTCGGGAATTAAAAGAGCTCCTCAATCAGAAAAAACAAGTGTTTAAATCAGGTGTCAGTAATGGGGAAAGGAAAAATATTCAAAGGCAACTCAAAAGCAAATTCAAGGAATGCAAGACAGCATACAAAGACAAATTAGAAAACCTTTTCAAGGAAAAGGACAGTAGGAAAGCCTGGCAAGGGCTACAAACCATCAAATCAAATCAAATTGTATTTGTCACATGCGCCGAATACAACAGGTGTAGACCTTACAGTGAAATGCTTACTTACAAGCCCTTAACCAACAATGCAGTTTTAAGAAAAATAAGTGTTTAAGAAAGTATTTACTAAAATAAAGTGAAGTAAAAAATAGATAAGTAAAAAATAAAAAAAATAAAAAAATTGAGAAATAACAAATAATTAAAGAGCAGCAGTAAAATAACAGTAACGAGGCTATATACAGGGGGTACCGGTACAGAGTCAATGTGCGGGGGCACAGGTTAGTCGAGGTAATTTAGGTAATATGTACATGTAGGTAGAGGTAAAGTGACTATGCATAGATAATAAACAGAGAGTAGCAGAAGCGTAAAAGAGGGGGTGGGGGGGGGGTCTTATGGCTTGGGGTTAGTAGCTGTTAAGAAGCCTTTTGGACCTAGACTTGACGCTCCGGTACCGCTTGCCGTGTGGTAGCAGAGAGAACAGTCTATGACTAGGGTGGCTGGAGTCTTTGGCAATTTTTAGGGCCTTCCTCTGACACCGCCTGGTATAGAGGCCCTGGATGGCAGGAAGCTTGGCCCCAGTGATGTACTGGGCCGTACGCACTACCCTCTGTAGTGCCTTTCGGTCGGAGGCCGAGCAGTTGCCATACCAGGCAGTGATGCAACCAGTTAGGATGTTCTCGATGGTGCAGCTGTAGAACTTTTTGAGGATCTGAGGACCCATGACAAATATTTTCAGTCTCCTGAGGGGGAATAGGCTTTGTCGTGCCCTCTTCACGACTGTCTTGGTGTGTTTGGACCATGATAGTTTGTTGGTGATGTGGACACCAAGGAACTTGAAGCTCTCAACCTGCTCTACTACAGTCCCGTCGATGAGAATGGGGACGTGCTCGGTCCTCCTTTTCCTGTAGTCCACAATCATCTCCTTTGTCTTGATCACGTTGAGGGAGAGGTTGTTGTCCTGGCACCACACGGCCAGGTCTCTGACCTCCTCCCTATAGGCTGTCTCATCGTTGTCGGTGATCAGGCCTACCACTGTTGTGTATTCGGCAAATTTAATAATGGTGTTGGAGTCGTGCTTGGCCACGCAGTCGTGGGTGTACAGGGAGTACACGAGGGGATTGCGCACGCACCCAATGAGGGGCCCCAATGTTGAGGATCAGTGTGGCAGATGTGTTCTTACCTATCCTTACCACCTGGGGGCGGCCCGTCAGGAAGTCCAGGATCCAGTTGCAGAGGGATGTGTTTTAATCCCAGGGTCCTTAGCTTAGTGATGAGCTTTGAGCGCACTATGGTGTTGAATGCTGAACTGTAGTCAATGAATAGCATTCTCACGTAGGTGTTCCTTTTGTCCAGGTGGGAAAGGGCAGTGTGGAGTGCAATAGAAATGGCATCATCTGTGGATCTGTTGGGGTGGTATGCAAATTGGAGTGGGTCTAGGGTTTCTGGGATAATGGTGTTGATGTGAGCCAAGACCAGCCTTTCAAAGCACTTCATGGCTACAGACGTGAGTGCTACGGGTCGGTAGTCATTTAGGCAGGTTACCTTAGTGTTCTTGGGCACAGGGACTATGGTGGTCTGCTTGAAACATGTAGGTATTACAGACTCAGTCAGGGACAGGTTAAAAATGTCAGTGAAGACACTTGCCAGTTGGTCAGCGCATGCTCGGAGTACACACCCTGGTAATCAATCTGGCCCTGTGGCCTTGTGAATGTTGACCTGTTTAAAGGTCATACTCACATCGGCTTACTCTACCCTTCAGCTCATTGTGGATGTTGCCTGTAATCCATGGCTTCTGGTTGGGGTATGTACGTACGGTCACTGTGGGGACGACGTCATCGATGCACTTATTGATAAAGCCAGTGACTGATGTGGTGTACTCCTAATATAATAAAATAATAATAAATAATATGCCATTTAGCAGGCGCTTTTATCCAAAGCGACTTACAGTCATGCATGCATACATTTTTGTGTATGGGTGGTCCCGGGGATCGAACCCACTACCTTGGCGTTACAAGCGCCGTGCTCTACCAGCTGAGCTACAGAGGAGAGAGGACCTCAATGCCATCGGAAGAATCCCCGAACATATTCCAGTCTGTGCTAGCAAAACAGTCCTGTAGCTTAGCATCTGCGTCATCTGACCACTTCTGTATTGAGCGAGTCACTGGTACTTCCTGCTTTAGTTTTTGCTTGTAAGCAGGAATCAGGAGGATAGAGTTATGGTCAGATTTCCCAAATGGAGGGGGAGGGAGAGCACGCATCTCTGTGTGTGGAGCAAAGGTGGTCTAGAGTTTTTTTCCTCTGGATGCACATTTAACATGCTGGTAGAAATGAGGTAAAACAGATTTAAGTTTCCCTGCATTAAAGTCCCCGGCCACTAGGAGTGCCGCCTCTGGATGAGCATTTTCTTGTTTGCTTATGGCCTTATACAGCTCGTTGAGTGCGGTCTTAGTGCCAGCATCGGTTTGTGGTGGTAAATAGACAGCTACGACAAATATGGATGAAAACTCTCTTGACTACAAACCAAAAATACATTGTATGACGGTCGAAAATGACCTTACTTTTGCAAAGGTTTGACGTGTGATTTTACATTGCAGCAGAAGGTGGCCTTTGACAGTATAGACAGCATACCAGCTGTTGATATACATATCTCTGTGAATGACGTCAAGCAATACTTTCAACGCGTCAACCCACGAAAATCATATGGTCCAGACGGCGTCAGCAGCAAGGCACTTCAGGCATGCGCAGACCAGCTCGCATTACCGTTCCAGAAGCTGTTCCAGCCGTCACTGAACTGTGGGATAATTCCAGACTTATGGAAGAAGTAACTGATTGTCCCAGTACCTAAAAACAACAGGCCAAAATAAAATAATGATTTACGCCATGTAGCCCTGACATCTGTACCTATGAAATGTTTTGAAAAGATCATTCAAAAACAAATTCTCTCTGGTCTCTCATCCCAATTAGATCCAAACCAATTCGCCTACCATGCCTCCAGGGGTGCTGATGATGTGTTACTGGTCATGTTGAACAATATCTACGAACTTTTAGAAAAGGCAAATAGCCTAGTGAAAATTGTATTCATTGACTTCAGTAGCGCGTTTAACACCATCCAACCCCACCTACTGGTGGATTTGGGTGTCAACTCTCTACTGATCAAGTGGATTAATAGTTTCCTTGTGAACTGTACTCAACAAGTGAAGTTTAACTCCGCCATCTCTACATCTAGAGCGGTTAATGCGGGAGCCCCTCAAGGTTGCGTACTTTCACCGATACTGGACACACTGGACACAAACGATTGTCTGACTCAGCCCACACATTCTTTAAATATGCAGATGACACCACTGTTGTGGGTTTACTCTACCCAGACCAAGCCTCTCTTCAAGGTTTTGACAGAGAAACGGCAGAATTCGTCCAGTGGTGCGCTTTCTTGACATAAACGTTAAGAAAACAAAAGGGATGGAAATTGATTTCAGAAGGAACAAAACTCCACTACCCCCTACGAAGAACAATGGGGAATCAGTCAATAGAGTGACCACAATGACTGTTCCTTTGCAAAGATAAAGAAATTGCAACATAATGTTTTTTTTACGCAAACTGAACCATTTTAATGTAGACTGCCAAATCTTACAAATGTTCTATAAATCTGTCCTGCGGAGTGTACTGTCCTTTGGTCTGATATGCGTATTTGGAGACATGCGAGTGCAAGACCAAATCAAGCTTCAGCGCTTGATCAAGACGGCGGGAAGGATAATTGGTATAGATCAAGAATTAGCCACCAACCTGTACATAAAACATCCTCCTAAAACTTTAAAGCATTTTACAGGTCAGAACTTATCCCTTTCACTCAAAACTCAGTCACAGCAGCAGCTGGACAAGGGGAAAGAGACTTATTCTAAAGAAAATCAAAATGGGGACTATTTTATTTCAACAGCCATAAGGATGTATAATAGATAGTCTCTTGGTTCCTCAAGTATACAGCATATTACACCTCCACTTTAAATGTGTAGCTATAGCACTTTCAATTAATTAATTTGTGTAGATTCTGTGTGTCCATGTTTTATGTACTGTCTTTTTAAGCACATTATCAAATTAATTTCCCCTTGGTGGGATAATAAAGTTGATCTGAATCTGAATCTGGTCTTCTCTATTGCCCTCTGCAGGCTGAGCTGACCTTCAGTGCCGGGGACGTCATTTATGTGTTTGGTGACATGGACGATGATGGCTTCTTCTATGTAAGTGTACAAGCATACACCTTTTCCAAAGAGAACAATGCAGCTATCTCTCTCATGCAAACGAAAAACTCTGAGAAGGATGTAAGCAACACCTGAAAGGCATGACCATTTGAATGACAAGGGAAGATGTTGAATTAGATAGTAGTAACATTAGCTGTTGTTGTAGCAGTAATACAGTTGTAGTTGATGAACAGACAGGCTACCAGACTGTCTTTTTTGATTGACTACGGGAAAGGTTACATGTGATGTGGGTGTCTAATGTGTATGCGGGTGTCACCAGGGCGACTTGAACGGACACAAAGGCCTGGTCCCGTCTAACTTCCTGCAGGCTATCCCAGAGGCTCCTGGGAAAGTCCCACCTCCTGACCCTCAGCCGCCGCCGCCTCTAGCAGAGCCCAGGAGAGAATTACAGGTGTGTCTGTGTACGGGTTACGCCTACGACAATGTGGACACACATGTACAGTACATCACCAACTGCCTTGGGGCCAAACATTGATGATGGCCTAATAGCCTAAAAAAAATGTCTAGTCCATTGCCTCTCAAAGCATGACTAGAAGCATGAACAATTAAATTTGCTTTTGTGAAGATGGAGCATTTGATGTTGCAGAAGACTGCCAATCTTTCTATGCACTTATCATCGACCATTTTTCAAAGATATTGTCTTTCATGTCTATGCTTTTTCAGTTGTTGTATGTTTTTGTCTTTTTTTGTTTTTGTCTCTATAATTTCCGTTCTGTTTTTGCATTTCTTTTGTCCTTCTGTTTCCTGCATGGCCTTTTGCAGAAGCAAAAACGAACTGTGCACTTTAAGACTTGAGCGTAAGTGTCTCTGGGGGGGAAACACCCTCCCAGCAGAGTGCTAGTAACTAGTACCCCCTACTCCCTCCACCTTCTGCTACTCTTTATCATTATCCTTCCTACCTTACCAGTACTAGGACTAGTATGTGTTGTGTCCTGTCCTTTCGGTCCCCATGTTCATGAGATCAGGCCCAGGGTGGTGTGCTGATGGGTTGAGATTTCTGGGTATTCTCCACTTATCCATTCCCGACCCAACCGTTCTCCTATATCCCTTGGCCTCCATGATTATTTTTAGACTCCCTGATCTTTAACACGTTTAGCTTTAGAGAGTAAAATGTTCTCTCTGTTACATGTTGATGTTAGTTGAATCAGTTCATGTACAATGTACGTTACTGACTCTTACTAGGATTGCTGTTGATAGTATGTTACTTAACAGTTTTAGTTGGATAGACAGATTCAGTAGAATCCTGATAAGAATAAAGAAACAAATGATCAGAAAGTGTTGTATTCTTATACTCTGTTTGCATGGTTTGCCTCCCCAAGGTGAGCCCAAGCACCTCTGTGGAGCAGACAACACCAAAGGAGGTTCCACACCCACCCCTACACACAGGGCTGACTGGCCCAGTCCGCACACAGCTCCACCACCTAGACCTGAATCCATCCGCAGCAGCAGCCATGATGGACCCCTCCTCCATGGACCCTGGCCCAGGCGCGTACTACCCCAACCCAGCCCCAAGGCAAGCCGCCCCCAGTCTCATCACCTCTCCACCCCACGTCCCAGCAGAAAGCCCCTCACAAACAGACCAGACAGATGCCTCCCCACCAGGCAAGAAAAAGAAAGGCTTCTTCTCCAAAGGGAAGAAGCTTTTCAAAAAGCTTGGATCCAGCAAGAAGGATTGAAACTTGGGACATTTACCCCCCTTTGCCCGTTTTTATTGAAAGCACTTTTACATGTTTGTTATCAGTCTTCGTTGTCTTAGTCTATGTTAATTTAGTTGCAGTATTCTGTAACTACAGATACACTAACTTGTCCTTGGCCGATATTATACCGCTAAATACACTGCTTCAATGGGCTTTCTTGATAATACTACTAAACCAGCTGTCAATAGAGATCAATAGTAATGGCTTCTTTTTGTAGGCACTAACTCCACTATGGTTCGTTGGACAAAAAAGCCTATGAGGAAATGATTGTTTTTTAAATGTTTTTGTAGGGTTTTTGGATAAATGTCGAAAATAAGATCTGTGGTAAACACTGGTTTAGGAGATCTTATACGTTTTTTTAAATGAGATAATCTTCATCAGCCAACGTCACTTTTTGTGAACTTTGAAGCATTTATGTAATACAAAAAATCACAAAGCCTTCATAATTCATAAAGGTCATGTTAACTGACTGATATTATCTCATGGAACAGAAAGTATAAGATCTCCTAAGCCTGTGTTAACCTCAGACCTTATTTTCGGCGTTTATCCCAAAACCCTATTCTTTCCCCATTCATTTTCCCCATAGGAATGGCTGAACGAACCAGAGGGTAACTCATTTCCGGTTTTTAGGACTACAAGCTGGCGCGCTCTATATGTGGAGCATATTTAGTCTGTATCTGAAATGACACCCTATTCCCTTTATTGTGCACTACTTTGGGAATAGGGTGCCATTTCAGACGCACTACTTTGGGAATAGGGTGCCATTTCAGACGCACTACTTTGGGAATAGGGTGCCATTTCAGACGCACTACTTTGGGAATAGGGTGCCATTTCAGACGCACTACTTTGGGAATAGGGTGCCATTTCAGACGCACTACTTTGGGAATAGGGTGCCATTTCAGACGCACTACTTTGGGAATAGGGTGCCATTTCAGACGCACTACTTTGGGAATAGGGTGCCATTTCAGACGCACTACTTTGGGAATAGGGTGCCATTTCAGACACACTACTTTGGGAATAGGGTGCCATTTCAGACGCACTACTTTGGGAATAGGGTGCCATTTCAGACGCAGACATTGTCATATATAAGACGTGGCAGCATCACTGAGAGCATGCTAATGAGCATGTTGAAGTATTTAAACTCCTAACCTGTACTGTGCTTACAGGTGGCCTCTAAATACCCACCGATTACCTAATAAGTGTTAACCATTAGTTGTCCACTCCACTCTGTGAGGGTTTGTACTTGACTTTAATCTGGAAGTAATCTCTGGAAGGATTGGATTTACTTTGAGTTGATCAGATACAGATGCAGAGGTGATGTTCAAATGCTGCTCTAGACTCTAGACTCCCCATCGTTGGCTTATCTGTGGTCCAACTCTGTCAGTTAAACTGAGGATGGAAGAGGGCATCTCTGTATCTCTTTATCTGTTGTTTCTCATCGCTGTCATTTTTCAGATCTATCTGGAATCTATTCTACATAGATGTATTTTAAACATCAGTTTGGTCAGTGAGTCCCTCTCTGTCTCATATCAAAAGTATTGTAACTAACTAGGATTGTTTTTAACGCTAATTGTACACTTTCTGAGTCTTTCACTCATTATGAAGAACTCACTACAGTATAGCTGAATGGAAGTTGTCCCTTTAACAGCAACTCTGTCCATTTCATTACGATTGACAACCATAAAGTAATTTATTTTAGAGATGGATCTCTGTGTTGAAGTTGAGTATGTTTGGTAAATTGTATGTTTAGTGTGTTATGTGAGTGAGGAAGGATGGGTCATATGGCCTCCTGAAGTGTGTGTAGACAAGGCGAGACTAACGGTGGTGAGACTGAAACCTATCTATGCCTTTCTGTCTAACGCTGGCGCACAGAACTCATACTCATGACTGTGTGTGTGTGTGTGTGTGTGTGTGTGTGTGTGTGTGTGTGTGTGCGCATGTCTGTGCGTGTGTGGGGTAATTTCCTGTCACTGTACTGTCATAGTATAGTGTCTTAGTCCAGGGTCTGTCTTGAGCCTGTCCTTAGTCTTTTGATTTAGATGTTTATTTTCCTCCATTTTAGGAGTGTTGTAAGGACAATGAACACTCAAACATTTGGAAGTATTCATTTTATGCATGTTTTTTTTAATCCATGGTTAACAACCCAACTCATGCACTGTAGCTGCATTGTTAGGTCGTTTGATCCAGCTACCCCATCCTGTATAATATGCAGTAATTGTTTCTGAAGGTGTCCAAATGACAGGCAAAGTTAGTAAGTTTGATTTTATTTGTTTGTTGTGTTGAATACAGGGCTGGTGTTAAATGTTAATAATTTCTCAGGTTCAACTAGTTTTAGTCACTCAGCTCTGCTCGGTTGAGCCACCTCGTCTCACTAAAATGTGTCTGTTGAACCGCAGAGGGAGATTCTTGCTAAAACATTAGGTGCTTTGTCTGTTACCATAACGAGGAGAGACCAAGCATGAAACACCAGGGGGGTGAAATAGCTCGAAATATACAGCATAGAACAGATGTATGTTCTACCTAATAACAGCCTATGTGAGGCATTTCTGTTCTATAGGCCACAGTTTTATCTGCAACATTCTGAACATTGCTTGCAACCCATAGGATTAGCCCCAGCAGAGGGCGGAGTCTAAGCACACCTGACTCCAGATGTTGGAGGAGGCAAATCTGGTTTCTTTGATGTTATGAATGTTTTGAGTTTATTTATTTATTCTTTTAATTGTATACACTTCCGGTCAAAAGTTTTAGAACACCTACTCATTCAAGGGTTTGTCTTTATTTTTACTATTTTCTACATTGTAGAATAATAGTGAAGACATCAAAACTATGGAATCATGTAGTAACCAAAAAAGTGTTAAACAAATCAAAATATATTTTAGATTTGAGATTCTTCAAATAGCCACCTTTTGCCTCGATGACAGCTTTGCACACTCTTGGCATTCTCTCAACCAGCTTCATCTGGAATGCTTTTCCAACAGTCTTGAAGGAGTTCCCACATATGCTGAGCACTTGTTGGCTGCTTTTCCTTGACTGCGGTCCGACTCATCCCAAACCATCTAAATTTGGTTGAGGTCGGGGGATTGTGGAGGCCAGGTCATCTGATGCAGCACTCCATTACTCTTCTTCTTGGTAAAATAGCCCTTACACAGCCTGGAGGTGTGTTCGGTCATTGTCCTGTTGAAAAACAAATGATAGTCTCACTAAGCCCAAACCAGATGGGATGGCGTATCGCTGCAGAATGCTGTGGTAGCCATGCTGGTTAAGTGTGCCTTGAATTCTAAATAAAAATATATACAGTGAGGGAAAAAAGTTTTTGATCCCTTGCTGATTTTGTACGTTTGCCCACTGACAAAGACATGATCAGTCTATAATTTTAATGGTAGGTTTATTTGAACAGTGAGAGACAGAATAACAACAACAAAATCCAGAAAAATGCATGTAAATTCAAATAAGTATTTGACCCCTCTACAAAACATGACAAGGGCAAAACCCTTGTTGGCAATCACAGAGGTCAGACGTTTCTTGTAGTTGGCCACCAGGTTTGCACACATCTCACGAGGGATTTTATCCCACTCCTCTTTGCAGATCTTCTCCAAGTCATTAAGGTTTCGAGGCTGACGTTTGCCAACTCGAACCTTCAGCTCCCTCCACAGATTTTCTATGGGATTAAGGTCTGGAGACTGGCTAGGCCACTCCAGGACCTTAATGTGCTTCTTCTTGAGCCACTCCTTTGTTGCCTTGGCCGTGTGTTTTGGGTCATTGTCATGCTGGAATACACATCCACGACCCATTTTCAATGCCCTGGCTGAGGGAAGGAGGTTCTCACCCAAGATTTGACGGTACATGGCCCCGTCCATCGTCCCTTTGATGCGGTGAAGTTGTCCTGTCCCCTTAGCAGAAAAACACCCCCAAAGCATAATGTTTCCACCTCCATGTTTGATGGTGTTCTTGGCGTCATAGGCAGCATTCCTCCTCCTCCAAACACGGCGAGTTGAGTTGATACCAAAGAGCTCGATTTTGGTCTCATCTGACCACAACACTTTCACCCAGTTCTCCTCTGATTCATTCAGATGTTCATTGGCAAACTTCAGACGGCCTGTATATGTGCTTTCTTGAGCAGGGGGACCTTGCATGGAGCCCCAGGCCGAGGGAGATTGACAGTTCTTTTGTGTTTCTTCCATTTGCAAATAATCTCACCAACTGTTGTCACCTTCTCACCAAGCTGCTTGGCGATGGTCTTGTAGCCCATTCCAGCCTTGTGTAGGTCTACAATCTTGTCCCTGACATCCTTGGAGAGTTCTTTGGTCTTGGCCATGGTGGAGAGTTTGGAATCTGATTGATTGATTGCTTCTGTGGACAGGTGTCTTTTATACAGGTAACAAACTGAGATTAGGAGCACTCCCTTTAAGAGTGTGCTCCTAATCTCAGGTCGTTACCTGTATAAAAGACACCTGGGAGCCAGAAATCTTTCTGATTGAGAGGGGGTCAAATACTTATTTCCCTCATTAAAATGCAAATCAATTTATAACATTTTTGACATGCGTTTTTCTGGATTATTTTGTTGTTATTCTGTCTCTCACTGTTCAAATAAACCTACCATTAAAATTATAGACTGATCATGGGCAAACGTAAAAAATCAGCAGGGGATCAAATACTTTTTTCCCTCACTGTATATATATATTTTTTGTCATCTTAGCAGACGCTCTTATCATTGACATTTTAGTCATTTAGCAGACACTCTTATCCAGAGCCACTTACAATTAGTGAGTGCATACATTTTTCATACTGGCCCCCCGTGGGAAATTAACCCACAACCCTTGCGTTGCAAGCGCCATGCTCTACCAACTGAGCTACAGGAAGGCCTTACAGTTAGTGAGTGCATACATTTTTTCCCCCTCATAAATCACCGGCAGTGTCATCAGCAAAAGCACCCCCACACCATCACACCTCCTCCTCCATGCTTTACGGTGGGAAATACA